GCCTAAGTTAACTCATTTGAACTTCTGGGAGGCTGAGATAAAACGTTAATGTGACAAGGGACTTCATAGACATACAGTACCTTATGAAGTGAAACATGAATGTTATTATGTTGCTGAACTAGTCTGTTATGCCAACAAACTTTATAGTTCTCCTTTCATTACTAGCCCCACATTCTGTTTAAGCTATGTCATGTAATAATTACTTAATTTTTTATTTTACATTTTATTTCTTATGTTGACAAGGTCCATTGATAATTGATAACCGATTTGATGATTTTCTGTCTTATACTCATATCTAACCACTTCCATAGTAGTAGGAACACTTATACCATGGAGTTGTGCAGCAACCTGTGGGATTTCATCATACCTGGGCTGCAGCCATGCTTAAATGCTAGCCTCCCTGAATACTCGCTAGGCTTTATGACGTTGCTTGAAATTTAAAAACCAGTGTAACTGTAAGGCACTGAGGAGATGTTTCATTTCAGTTTTCAAGAGGACATTGTGGAAGGTTGCCTTTATGACCCTGAACGATGTGAATTTCCGTTGAGCTTTTAAGTGTGGCCTTGCTGAAGGTTGTAGCTTAAATTCATGCCTGGACATTACTGGCTGCGCTGTGCCTTCTTAAGTGTAGGCTTGCTTGCTTCTCCTACCTGCCCTAGCTGTGCACGGTGTGTCGCCCCACTATGAGACGCTCACAAGTAGGTGTGGCACTCTTCTACGCTCTCACGGCAGGCTGGTGGTAGCCGTGGAGGAAGCCTTCACCCACATCAAGCGGATGCAGGAGGAGGACCAGAAGAAAGCGCCAGGGGAAGTGATGGACCCCCGCGAGGCTGCACAGGCCATCTTCCCTTCCATGGCCCGGGCACTGCAGAAGTACCTCCGCACCACTAGGCAGCAGCACTGCCACACCATGGAGAGCATTCAGCAGCACCTGGCCTTCTGCATCACCAATAACATGACACCAAAGGTAACTACAGAAATGACTGCAACTCAATTCTCAGTTCCCCGATAATCTGTTTTGCCTGCTTCACGCCAGACTAGCTGAAGATCTTGGTATCCGTTTGCTCATTAAAGCGCATTCGTGCGGTTTTAAGCTTAAAAGATTGTTCTCTGTATTCTCACGTTAGATATCTTTTTAATTTGAAATCACCGATTATTTTTGTTACACTCTCCCAATTTGAAACGGCCAATTTGTGTGTTTTTCGACGTGGGTAGACTTCATCGCCCCCTTTTCCGTATTTGAGACACTTGTCTTTTAGCGTGTCACCAGGAGCACAGCCCCCTAACAAAGGATCAGTCCCAATTGGAAGAGAGGCGTGTCCCTTACCAATAGCACCACGCGCTCGGATGGCCACAAGGGGCGCTGTGTCAATAACAGCCGAGAGAGCCCTAGCTGACCAGTCCCACTCCCTCAGCAGTGCTCAGCTAATTACCGACCCTCCCAAGTGCTCATCATGGATAGTGACATGAGCCCTGCTTGAACCATAGTTCACAGAGTTCATCCTGCACTGGTTCAGCCACTCAGGAGGCATTTGCTTTTTGACAGCTTAAAATAAAAGCAAAATTGAGGATCTCAAAATCATAAACAGTAGAACTGCTAGGTTAGCCTCCTTAGTAGTCACTACATAAACCTTGCCTGGAAAATCACTTTGAAAAGCAATTTGTTTAAGTGGTGCAAAGCAGAGTTGTATCAGACTATTCTCTATGTGTACATAGAAATTTCCAACATAAAAGCTATCAAATGTACTCTGAAACTGGAATAGCAGTAAAATCTATAGCAGTAAAACATACTGATACAGCATTAAAAGCTAAATTAGATGTTAGATATTGCACCCTTAGTTGCATTTTGAATGCCTTCTGGTATATTTACCTTCATTCCCAGCATGTTGTGATGAGTTTATGAACTGTCACATTTTGCAGCCAGTTTCCTTATGGAGAATGGACAATTGTCAATGTTTCATGTGCTGTGAGCTACTATTATTCCGCTGAATACCATCATTATGATTGTAAGTATACAGTATACTGTGAAGACCCCGATATCAGTAGTGCAGAGAAGGTTTTATAGAAGAGTGGTTTACTGATCAAAATGGTATTATTATAAAGATAAGTTGTTACTTACTGTTAACTATCTCATACGCTGTCTGGATACTGCTACTCTGGAGCAAAGGCAGGACCCAGAGTCAATTGGCTACGTAATGTAACGGACTGTAGTTGAAGCTGTTATTGTTTAACGTTTGAAATGGTTATAGCAATGTAATTTTCAGAGACTCTTAATAGCTGTGTGATAATGAAGATTGTTTGTTTGTCTTCTTTATTTTCCCTGTTTGTTTCCACCAGGCTTTCTTAGAGAGTTATCTGAACCCAGGCCCCACACTACAGTACAGCAGAGATCGCTGGCTGGCTCGCCAGTGGGTTCTGGTCAGCGAGGAAGCTGTGACCAGTGGTTTAAAGGATGGAGGTGTCTTCGTCCTCAAGTGTGTAGACTTTAGCCTGATTGTGACTGTCAAGAAGATCCCCTTCATCAAACTCTCAGAGGAGTTCATTGACCCCAAGTCTCACAAGTTTGTGCTCCGGTTACAGTCTGAAACATCAGTTTAATTTCCTTGTTGTCTTATTTTATTTTTTGTCCATTTCAGGATTTTATTTCCATTTTTATATATGCATATATAAATATATTTTCTTTTTTTAAATAAAAAGTTGAAAAACATTAAGAAAAATCTATACGAAAAAGCAGATGATAAACTATGATCCTATACATTGGACAGGAACTGGAACCCGCACATGAATCCTGTTTCTTCCTGGGAGTGGGAGGCTTTTTTTAAGATGGAGAGGGGTTCAAAATGCTTGTGGTGAACAGGGAATGGCATTATCAAGAGTTTGATGGGACCACTGAGAAAGGCAAAAACAACCTCCCACCTGCATCGGACCTATCTGGGGAAAACTGATTTTTTTTTTTTGCCATCAGCTATAGTAAGCATTACACAAAGCCTTTCCACAATGCACATCCACTTTTGTTGCATGTCAAAAGAGCAAATTACCTGTATATGCATTAGCAGAGACTGCATCTGAATTGCAGCCTGGACATCAGTCAATACCTTTGTTGGAGGCATCTGCATTTAATGTGGATTCTTAATTTTTTTTGTATGATTCCTCTCAGTCCTAAAACTGTATATTTTAGTGTGTATATATGTATACATATATACCTACACAAAGCTGCTCACTTTATACTGTTTATACAATGTAGGGTCATATATAACTTTTTAAAACATTGTCTGCACATAAATTGTCTCTGTGATACACCAACAGATCTTTGATTATTATTTTCATATTCTATAAGCACATTTTTAATGTGAATTGCAGTACAGATGTTTTTTTACAGGGCTTCTCATCATTCCATTTTTACAATCTTAATTTTTCACTTTTTCAGTCCAGGCAAGATCAGAATCCTTTCATGCTTTTTTATAACGCATCTGTTTTGTAGGTAGAAAAACAATGTAACTACTCTTCTTGCTGCACTTAGGCTCTTACGATGCCTCTTTGAGAAGCCAATCTAATCAGGTAGAATTGGTGATGCCCTATTTTCCATATTTTTTAAAATAGTTTTACAGAAGTCCGTTTTTCAGAAGCGGTCTCTTCATATTCCTTGAAAATTCTAATCTTACTTGGCTCACTTTTCTAATCAACAAAATGCATTTAATTGTAAAAAAAAATCCTCATAGGCTCATTTTGGCTCACATAGGCTCATTATGGAAGCTTTCAGATTGTGTATTTGGCCTGGCATATCAAATGTTCAAGAGACATTTTTCATTGTCAATATTTACGTTGTGAGTAAACCCTGAAAACAGTCTAGTCAGAAGATGTGCCAAAATCTGGATCCAGTTTCAACCTCATTATTGGCATTTAAATTTTGTGACACCTGGCTTTCTAGTGTGACAGCAGAAACTTGCCACCCTTCTTGTTCAACAGTCTCATCCCTTGATTAGGATTAAGACCTTTATAATGTGGACAATCCCGAAACAGCACAGTCAGTAATGCCTTAGTGTTGCTGACTGGTGTGCCTGAACTTTTGTAGTGTACAACTGAAAAATAGGAAAACTTTGGATGGTCTGAAATTTTGAGCAGTGCTTCATCATAGAAGTGACTTTAAATGTGTTACATGGCATATCGTGGGGATTCAGATATTCGAACAGTAAAAAAAAAAAGACGTGAATTTGCTTTGCTATAGTTATGAATAGCCTGGACAATACACACAGTGGGATGAGGACTCTTTATACATGCAGTGTGAATTTTTCTTCGGCTTTCACATGTTATGGCAATGTCTTGAAGGCTGGAAATGACCTTTGAGTTTTTGCCAGGCAGTTCAAGGCCATGTCCCTCAGCTTGCTCTGACCTTACCGAGCAACAGCACAACCCTCAATGTCCTGACGAAGCCCAGAGTGCAGGATTTGTTTTGTTCCCCAAAAAAGGATGCAGTCCTGATTTTAGACTGACAAACCCACAAGAAGAAAGAGACGTCTCTTACTCTGTTCCCTGTAGTACCATTTATTAGAATCCTTATCATGATTATTTATTAATAATTTATCACAAAATCTTAAAAAGTGAGGCCTCAGCTGAGTTTGTTCAGTGACTTGTTTGAATTGAGTGGCTTGTTATTCTGGACCATCTGGTGCTTTTATACGCTTTTAAAAGCTCTCACCTTTAAGTTACTTCTTGCTTGAAAACCTAAGTCATAAGAGTGGAAGACTATGATCGTTTGTAAACCTTACATGATAACCCTGCACTGCACTGCTGTTAAGAGCTTGACGGTCTGTTTTGTCATATGACACCTAGATTTAGAGGAATGTCTGGTGCCAATTACAATGTTCAAAGTAGATCAAATCCATGTCCCGGTTATTTGTTGACTGATTACGTTGTTTGTAACCTACCAAGCCGGTTATCAGTCTGTGTTGAAGAGCATGGGTAAAGAGTGTAAGAATTGAGATACTGTATAAATCCTTACCTTCAGTTGTCTGATACTGCCCTGCAGACAATCCTGTATTTCTAGTGTGCTCTGTGCAGTGTTGTGTCCAGAGATGGGAAATTCTCTCCAGATGACACAACAAATGTTTTTTTATACTCCTCCATGCTTTGTAGCACATTAGGAATAACTTCGTTCTTTATTTAGTGAGAAGGCGCTTTCTGCTTGTATCATTTTTGTTCTGATAGTTTCTGATATGTACCACAAAACCATGACATTTTCCGAAACATCTCTTGTAACAGGTTACAGTAACAGGCCTTTAAGGGAAAGAGGCATTGAATCTCAGAGAATCTTGCTTTTAAAAACACAGCTCTTGTTCTTGTTCATCTTCCTGTACATTGTAGCTGTTCTTATCGTGTTGTGTTACAGTACTTGTGATGGACATGCTGTGATGACCTGCACTTTGTTTGCTATGTGGATTCATAGTGCTGTGAACAGTGCTAACAGATTGAATTCTGGTTGTTCTCTTCTGAAAGGCCTGGAATCTGAGTGATAAGGCCTCATAGGCCTAGAACACTCATGTTCTTTTGCTTGGTATTCGCTGGGTTGAATTAAATTATTTAAAGACCCGCAGGTAAGCAAAAAAAACTCTTAACTGAGAATGAGAGTCTTCGTGTTACCATTGCACAGACCGATTCCTGCTCCAAATATAGAGTTTTCCACATGAATTGCTCATAGTCTGGCTGAATACAATGTAGTTTGGAATGTTGGATGATTTTGTTTTAGTTTTTATTTAACTATTGATGTGTCCAGAATAAACACTTAAAGTGAAAGAGGCCTATTTTAGTAGCACAGAATGCTGACCTTTACATTTTTCCAAAAACATGGAACATTTTCCCTAAAACATGGGAACATGTCCTTATTTAGTGAAATTCACTGAGTTATAAGATTTTAATTCTGATGTTAATTATTAAGCTTGTCGTATTCAATAAACATGTCATAACTGCTGTTTGGCCTTTTGACTAACCAAGATGATTTTCTACATTTGTAAATAAAGGTCATCAGGATGTATACTGTGCATTTTATTTTGCTTTCAACATGATAACATGATTAGTGGGGAGGTTAATTGCCACTGTCGATGTGCAGTTGTCTCTACTGAAAATTATAAAAAAAAGCTGAAACAATGAAGTTAATGTGTTTCTGTGAAATTATTGAAAATTGACTCATCTCCTCTATGACCACACCTCCCAGCTTAGGGCAATCGTGCTGATTTTTTGTCACCACTACTTGTTTGATACGGTGTTCATTTTGTGTGTGAAAATGTTTTATATATTTTGTTTTGCAAAATGATTTTCAGTGCAAAAAACATCCAAAGATTTTATGAAGCACAGGAATTGTTTGGAGTTTTAGTAAATAGCTCACAGTGCCACCTAGTGGTTGCATTTGGAGTTGTTCTTTAGTGTGACATGACATCTCCTCAAGTGTTATTGATACAATCTCTGGAGCAATACCAGTCACAAGTTAGTAGGTATACTGGAATATGAAAGTATCAAAGTAAAAAAATAACATTTGAATGTATTGAAGTACATATGTCTTTATCCACATGACTGATTGTCATGAACTTAAAAACTCTGTAGCAATAGATGAAATGTACATTGTCTATGGAGATTTATTCAGATTTCAGAATTTATGAAAGATAATTTTTTGTACAAGTAACTTGCTTTTTAAAAGTATGATCCCAAAATTATGTAACTAATGTGCTTTGTATGTATCTTACAATGTGAATGTCAATGTGCCTCATTCTCTACTCATAGTGTCTGCCACTCCTAACAAGTGAAATCTCCTTTCCTTGCTCTCAGGTGCTTTACACACATGATTCTGTTGAGTGGTTTGAGGCTTTGTGTCCGTTTTTGTAATGTAATGAATGTTTGAAGTTCACATCACAAACATTTGCGTAAAATAAACATTTATACAATATTTGTAAATTACATAAAACTTCACTACAAAATGATGCTTTTAAAAGTATTTTTGTGTAGAAATTTAAATTTTATCCAAGTGTCAGTAATAATTCACTGCAGCGTTTTTCTAAAACTAATCCAAAATCTTATGATTAAAAACAGAAATGTCAGAAAAACAGTTGTTTTTCAAAGAAAAGACGGAAGGGTTTGTGACTTTTTTTTTTATGACCGCACATTAAGAGCCCCCTTTTTTGGAAATTGAAAAACATAAGACAGCCATGCTTACCTGATAACTCAACACATGTTTTTCCAAATCTGATGGTCTTGTCATGGCAAGATCACTCCATTGGTGTAGAATAGGACATGTTATTACTTACAAATTGCTGCCACTGCATTGCTTTTATTATAGAAAACGTGAATATGGTCGCCTGCACATGAGGAGCTCTTAGCTCATTTCCGATGTGGTTGTGGTGTGTTTTGTGTTTGAACGGTAACATATTTCATCTGCGTTAGATCTCAATCTAGGTCCTAAGGAATGGTTGTCCGGTTCACCACAAGCCTGTTCTTGCAGTCAGTTGTTGGTAAGGGCGGGATCCAATGGTTCACAGATAAAAACGACTCCCATTTCCATGCCAGTGCTTTAGCAATTGGCTCAGTGCTGTTCGCTGTTAGGAGCTCATCTCTTAAGTGGATTTACACACCCCTGAGGAGGATCCCTAAGATGCAAAAGATGCAAACAGGCTAGAATTTCTAAAGGATTTTTATCTGTCCAGGTCTGAGCACGGTCATTTGGCTTGGTTCTCGCCGGACGCTTCCAGGACATTGCAGTCTGCTGTCCAGCTAGTGCAGCTCTTGGCTTGATGCTTGCGTTGCTTTCAAACTGCGGTGGAGCTCGGAGAGGCAGTCGGCTCCTGTCAGACTGTTACTCCGGCTCGAGGATGCTTTAGTTAGCCGTTTAGTAATTATGACCCGGTTTGTCCTCCCCTTGTCTGCCTCTGCGGCCCATGATCTTGCACAGTAAAGATCTGAAGCGGTCTCCATTACCGGAAAGACTTCTTTTGTGGACAGATACGCATTTTAATTTCTTTTACTGTGAAGGTGCTACAGACACGTTTTAAATGACATGTAAGCCTGTTCTGCCTTACACACCAGATTGACTTTTGTAGAACTTTTCTAAGGCCTTGTTATGAACAATGTAGAACAGGTAGCTATAGGTTTTCAGCTATCCATCATTGCATAAATGGACAAGAGGAAGCAGAAACGTTATAAGTAAGCCTGTTATAGCCCTTTGTTAAAGATTGTCCCATTATAAGAATAACATTTTTTTCTTATAATTTTTTAAGCTTTTTTTTACAGTTTATTACAGTAATTGTACTGAAATGCTGATACTGTATGTAACATCTAATGTTACCACAGTCACGGATCACTTTTGGCGACTATGTTCATCTTGACCTTTGAGTCTTCAGGGTTCTAACATGTTACTCTAAAGCTGTCAGAGGAGTAATCCTTGTGCTGTTATTGCTAGGAAAGGGATTTCACTGTGTTTTTGTGTTGTGCTGTCCACCATTTATGGTCATGGCTTATTCTGTCGTACTGCTTGGCTGAAAGACCTGAGCTAGTTGGGCAAACTGCAACCCAGCTGGTCCTTTTTTCTGCACATATCACTTTTTCAGAGTTGTATTCCTTTTCTATGACATTAAAAAAAGGACTGGTATTAGGCTAATAGTGGTTAATTATTCTCCTTGGAAATGTTCATTTGAACTTGACATCTCTCTTTTGTATTTGACTCTATTTTACACATTGCAGATTTTGTACATGAACCTCCAACAAATAAATCAGTAACCATATTTGAAAGTTTTGTGTTGTGTTTTTTGAAAACATGACTACATATCCAGCAGTGGTTTGAAAAGGCATTTTTGACCATTTGATATACTAGTGTTATGGAGGTTTACTGTTAGCTGTGTGTTTGTATTGGAAAATGTAAGCTTGATTTGACTCACCAGTTCAGATGTCTTAGTTACACATTTAAATCTACTGAAGTAAAAATTCCTATCCCTGGATCAGTCTGAGGTCGACACATCCGGTCTCAATTTGTTGGAAATTTCTTTGGCAGTTCTGAAACTGGCAAATACACCACACCGCGTCTAATTGAGGACAAGTGAGTTGCTTCTAGAACCCCTGTATGTCTTCAGTCTAGAACCAAGGTGATTAAGAAGACATCTGGTCCAATCATGCAAAATCCTAAAGGAGTATACTGTAGATAGGGATATCTAAGTGACTACTTCCCATTCAGCACCAAAACTAATTTAGTTTTAGAATAAAAACATTTAGGACAGAAAATAAGAAACACTTCTTTACACAAAGAGTTGCGGGCATGTGGAACTGGCTTCCCACCATGGTGGAAAAGGCCCATACATTGATGAAATAGCTGGAGAAAAGTTTGTATTTACTTACCTATTGAACTACCATGGACATGCGTCATCTCATTTGAATGTTTTTTTTTTTTATGGTCTCGGCGATTATGAAGACATTATGGCAGGATTGCTGTGGTATCCAGTACGAGTTCTTGGCCATTACATGTCTCTGCTAAACTGAGCTTCAGACATCCATGTGGTCAGTTTGCCAACATCTCGCTTCCCAGAGATGTCACCCCCAAATGTCACCATTCTGAGTGAGAATCTAGTACGTGCAATGATAGATGTTTAGTAGTTGCCTGTTCAAATCCACTCATCTGGGTTTTTGTGGGCCTTCCGGTTCTCCACATCTAGGTCTGTTGTTTCTTTTCCCCTCACAGAGTTTCACATATTTTGTGGCTTTACAGCTGGGGTGCACAGAAGCATTTCCAGAAGGGTGTTTCATATCTGTGCTCCAGCTCCATCTGGCACACATGCAGCTCTCATGCTCCTGCATTAGTCTGTTTGATCACGGCAGTGTAACACGATCACTTCTGCTGCAAGCGCTGTAGATTAGAGGGTTTTAGGTCAGCCGGCATTGTTCACTGAAGGTGTCATGAGCCAAGATTCATCTGTTTTATCCCTCGGCCAGCTCTTCTATGGAAAACCAGCCGAATGTTTTCCACCACAACTTATTATTGGAGGTGTCATCTACAACAGAAAAACGTAGTCCTCACAAAATGGAAATCAATCTTTTTTTTCCCTAAAGCTCCATTAGCAAAAAAAAGATAACATTTCATAATCACATTAGGCAATTTTGCTTTAGTAGTATCCATATTTCTAAGCTCTCTAGGCCAGATATTATAAATCCATTTGCTGGTTAAATTAATAATTAATGTTTTTAGTGGTGAATGAGCGTAATTAACTTTGCTCTTTGCCAACAAATATTATCACTTTAGCCCTGTGTGACTCATAGTTGTTGACTATGCCAAGCAAGGTTTTTTCAATAAAAACCAAGCCAAGCAAGGTTCTGCCAAGCAAGGTTTTTTCAATAATAAATGAATTCTGACTGGTTGTCAAAAAGGCTGAAAGAATGAGATAAGAGGGGAAATTGTCTTGCTCCCTGAAGGGCACACTTCAGTCCTGCTCATAGTGAAGTGATGTAGAGAGTGCTTGCCTTCTACAAGTGCTGGGTCTCCGAATATCTGTGTTCATTGAGTTTCTCGAAGGGCAGCAGGGCTCTGTTTCCTCTGTGAGCTAGTGTCAAACACAGTACCGCCTGCTGGTACTGCTCCTGTTACCCCCTCTAGTGGAGGAAGGGATTCACTACATGGGTGCGCTCCTTGAACAGGGTTCACAGCTCTCATACTGGAGGGCCAGGAGGTTGCTGGTCTTTCTTCCATCTGAGCCATTAACTGCCTAATTGAACTCAGTATTTTCTTAACTGAAGCAATTGCAGCCTTTTAATGTTTTTGAGAAGCTGGTGATTTAAAAAGACCTACAAAACCTGTGTGAGGAGACATCAGCGTAAGAGATCTGCAGTTCCAGCTGAAGTCAGCAGAGGATCTCAGAAAACCCTTGTTGAGTAGAGGGGACTCTTCTACTGGACTTTCCAATATGGGCAGACTTGGGAACTGGAGATCTGTATGGGGATCCCAATAAACAGTAGTGCTCTGATTCTGGTAGAACAGCATTTAAGTGTAACTCCTAGAAAGATGAAACGGTCTGCTTATGGCCTCAATGGTGAGAAGCCGCTGGCAAATAATTCATTTTGGTGGTGGCTTAAGACTACACTGTGATTATAAAGAATTTTTTATTTAAGAAGATATACAATGGTGTGCATGGCGTTTCAGATGTATAGTCTTCTTCATGATTCCTGCTTTGGTAACATAAAACAGTCTGACCTGGGTGAGGTAGGAAAGTCCCCACACTTCAGAGGATGACAGTATACCTACTGTACCTCACAGTGAGCTTGAGGGTGGCCAGAGCCTGCAGGACAAGTCAAGGTCACTGCAAGCTGAAACATGCCGACCACTCTTTCAGAACTGGCTATTTCGGTTCCTATTTAGAGATCAAAAGGGGGCAACCACTTTGACAGAGAGCCCCAGGGCCCAAGAGGGCAAAAGGGAAGAATTTTCAGGAGTCTCGCTATTATTTCTGAAGCTGAGGCACATACTTTAAAGCATTTAAACCTCAGTCAATTCCATTATTCCCTTGGTGCATGTTCAAGAGTGAAGAAGAAAGGGTCTAAGTGTCATATCCCCACCGCAGTATCTCCCATTCATTATACAGCATGTGATTATGCCAACATTGCAGTGGCTCAGCTCTTCAACAAGGTGAAGGATTAGTGAGCTCTGGAAAAACCGAACTGAGCACCTTGTTTCCCAGAATCAGAATCCGCTCCCCCACATGTCCTGTTGGCTCATTCCAGTGATATCCAACATGACTGGGAAAGAGTACTCAAACAGGAGCTGCAAGGGTGAAAATGATAGAGCGATCCAGGTTTTCGTCATGGCGATCTATGGCCACAGCAGTTATTAGGAACGTCAGTTATTACTTTGGAGAATTGCCTGGGATGACAACACATGAACGATTCGAGATGCCTTTTAATTTAACCAGGAATTCTAAGAAGCAGAGGAAACCATTTGTCATCTGTCAGATTAACAGAGCCCCTCCAGCACTTTTCAGATTTGAAACTTGCATATGCATTGTAATACGGTTTCTTTAAATTCTTACCAAAGATTATAAAAGAAATTTACTTAAGGAAAGAAGAGATGTTATTCATTACCTTTTGACACAACTGTTTAAACAATCACTCATGATTGTTGTTAGATTGGTAGCAAGTATTTAAGTGATCTGAGGATCTTGTCTGTTTACGGTTGGGCCGCTTATTCCAGATTCTTCTTTAGCTATGTTTTAGCTCTTGAAACATAGTGCCTCTTGTTCTCAGTTTAAAACACACTTCCATGTAGCTTCCACTTGTATCCCCTGGTTTGTGTTTCATCGTTCATTCTGAAGAAACCTGCTGGGTTTACTTTGTTAATATCTTTGAGGACTTTGAATATGTGTTTCAGTTCTCTTGTAATCTCTTCTGTTCAAGACCAGAAAAGTTTGGTTCCTTCAGCTTGTCAGTGTAGAAAAAGCCCTTAAGCACCAGAATGTGTCTGGTGGCTCCTGCCTGGACTAATTCCAGAGGGGAAATATAATTTCTATGACATGATGATCAAAATTGTACACAATGTTCTAAATAAGGTACTGCAGTCTGACAGATTCATAACTTCAGCTACTGGAAAGAGAAATCCATCAACAGAGTAGTGTTAGCCACTACTGACTTGGTTGCTTTTAGATCCTGTGTAGGATTATCTTCTATTCGCTGTCCCAGCTGTCTGGAATTAAAATGCCTCCAAGGAGAGACAGTGCTAAACAGCTGGTACAACACAGCTCTTTGGTAAACACAGCCTGCTTTTCAATTTTAGACAGTTTTTGTTGTAGACATGCTGAGGACAGAAACAGCACAAGGGAACACATACTGTACGTTCCAATTCAAGCAACAGAGCTTTTGAATCACTATGAGCATGATTTGACAAGAGAAATGTGGCACCTATGGTGTCTATAATTGTGTTGTTTACTGCTGCACTTTGGGCTCCCTGTCTTCTGCTTTTTGAGAATTTCTTCTGTGTAACAGAGAGATAAAATGATCATCTCAGCCCTTTCTGCTGTAGGGTATACCTAGTGAATTAGCTGTAACGGTTTCAAGAGAAATCAAAACTGACAGGAGCAAACTGAACACACTTCCACAAATCTAGAATCGGATTAATGCAAATTCCCTGTGTGAAGGCTGAGTTTCATACAATGTTGTCGGCTCAAATCAGCGTACAGACGTGTTTTCGACCACTTGAGGCTGGAGCAGGTGACGTCAGCCTGGTTGTGTTGCACACTATCTTGAAGTGAGCTTCAGAATGTGAAAGCATGCACAAGAAAATACAGTACATCACATTTGTTGAAGGACCTGATACATTAGCAATTATATTTATGGTCTTGGAAATTAAAAATGAAATTATGTGTAGTGGATTGAGTAATGATCAAGTAAAACCTCAACTAGTATTCTAACGACTGACAATCAAATATAAAAAATAAAATATTTGTCTGAGTATCTTGTTTTTTAAAGTCAGGCTAGTTTTAGACATTGTTGCAGTTTCTGTGGTGTACTAATTTACTGTCATTATGCCAGCAGACCACAAAGAAGTTTCACAAATCATACAATCTCTTTCTGCATTAAGAGTCATCCATTGGTTTCTTTTATAACTCTTACTATGTCTTGTTTAGGACACATTGCAGCTTATTGTCTGTTATCTCCAGACTGCTCTGAGGGATAAGAGTGTGCCTGTGTCCATAGTGCACACTGAAATGTTTTGAATTGACCACTCCTATTATAAATATTGGATTAAGACTGAGAATACAGTAACTTCATGTTATTACGTTACCAAAATGATGAATAGAAGACACTTTTTCCTTAGTTTTAATTAAAAGTAACATTCCACAGAGCTCATGCAACAGTGCCCCAAAAGTGTTCTTGTTCATGGAAAATAAAATTGTTAAATCTTCTTCAGAAAAGATCTTAAATTTTATGAGGCTTCTTTGTTTTTAAGTAGAATGGGATTCTATAGTAATGAAATTCTGAAGGCCACAACCCATTTGTATGCTTGCAGTACCCTTGGTGTCCTGGAAACCAAAGCAATAATGTAATATTTATGGAAGTGCACTACTAGGTAGTTCAGATGTCTGTCACCAAATATATTAGACTTCCTTACAAAAATATAAAATAAAAAGGTGTTGCAGCTCATATTTATCATTATTCACATTTTTTACTTTTGCTCCAACGTTTTTTAAACGATAATAAGGATATGGATTTATTATTGGAAAAATACATTTGGTTGTAAAACTTCTTTAAGCATCCCACCTGGAGTAAATATTTCATTAACACATGTAACGATAAAGCAAAACTTCAACTTGCCAACCAACATAAACTTTAAAATAGGCACCAGACTGGCAGCCACCATCAAATGCTGCCTTTGTTTCTGGCTACTGGTTACACAGGCAGTTCAGAATTTGGATTTCATCTGCGCTCGAGCCTATTCTGTCTTTCAAGCAATATATTGTGTGTGCTCTTAGTAGGAAGGGCTTGGACATTAACTTCTTAAAACACCAAGACCAGCAGTTTCTCATCTTACAATGGCAGGAACTGGAGACTCTTGTCATCAGCTGTGGATGCAGGTATTGCCTGTAGTTTAAAATATCATTTGTTAAAATGACAAAAAAAAAGAAGCAGAGGTGGCTTATAAAGAAGAGTAGAAAATGTACAAAATTCTCTATAAAACTGTCCGAGGTCGATGTATATTTTTTCTTTTCTTTTTCTTTTTCCTGAACGTGCTCCAGCATACAGGAGCGTCTTGTTTAAGCTTGGTTCACACTGTTAGACATATCTTTCGACAATCAACAAGACATATCTTGACTTCAGATTGCCCTTAACTCCCATTACTTTTCTCATGGCCAAGGGAGGTAACAAGAGTCTGCAAGACTTTCAGCATGTCTCTTTCCAATTGTTATGATATCTGTCATCAAAGACAGGCATGTTTGGCTAGACATAATTAATTTGATAAAGTTACATTCCAAAGAACATTCTTTTTCCAGTTCCAAGTGTCACATGTAATTTCTAATTATATGAATGCTAACTCAAGACTTCTCCTCTTGTTTACAGGTGTCCTAATCCTGGTTTTGATTACATTGTGACACTTTTAAGTTGGTATATAGATGGCTGGCCTACCTATAGAGGTCTTAATACTTCTCAAAAGAAAAGAACTCGCTCTTTGAGAAATTTGCCTGTGCTGGCTGAAGTTTTGCAACTGTATTTTCTCAACAGTTCCAATAGTGTGAACCAGGCTTTAAGCAGCAGAATCCAATTGTTAACCGAGATATTTTGAATGACTTCAGCATTGAGGGATTCTGGAAGTTTGCAACTTAGTCATCATCATCATCGTCTTCATCATCGTCGTCGTCGTCATCGTCATCATCATCATCATCGTCGTCGTCGTCGTCATCATCGTCGTCATCATTGTCGTCCTCCTCCTCATCATCGTCTTCGTCGTCATCGTCCTCAGTGTTCACTTTTCCTGAAAGGACATCCTCGATCCAGTCCTCCAGTTCCTGTGCTGTGGGAAGATCCTCATCGTCCGCGAGATCCATCCACACACTGTCAGCCTGCGGGAGAGAAAGGTGAGGAAGGGCATTACAGAAACAAAGACTGTGGGGAAAGAGTTTTACTGTCCCTTTAACTTGACAGAAACCTCCTGTCTGTGTAGTGGGCCAATGGGATGGACAGTCTGCCCACAGTTTGTCTTCAGGGGAAATTAGGACCAGTATGTTCCACTATGCTGTTTATTAGGACCCATCTGAATCCGAATACAAACCAAATTGTCTTCAACACAATAGGGTGACTGATTATACAGTATGACCTTCAGTAAAGTACTGTAATACATGAAATTGCAATATTTTAAATTGTAAATGTTTTAGGTAGGTGGTTGGTCTAATTCCACTTATTTGTAATTGAGTAGCTTGTGGAAAATGTTAAAAGGTCACCCTGGATATATAGCATATATTATTAATATTCAACAGTTACTTTTAAATTGATCTTTGCTGTATATAAACAAGTAGCAGAGGGGGGCCATGTTCTTATTCACAGACCCCATTGTGGGCCTAACAGTGTCAGGACCCAAAACTCTGGTGATTACACACAGTCTTTTGGGTTATTAAATTTTTTTATTAGATACCAAAATAGCAGTGACAGGGCAAGCACTGTAGAACTTACATCAGTAACATTCACCACTCCAATCTGAGGCTTGAAAAGGTCAATTTTGAACGTTCTCTCCCAATATGTAATCAGCTGAAATGAGAGGAAAACATTTATTTGAGTAAATGCTGTAGAAATATAACGTATTCACATGAAGAAGACTTTTTATTTTGCCATTTCTTTTTATTCACACTAAGTTGTCACCACCAAGTATTCACAGCCTTAATTCATTTATTGAGAAAATTGCAATCATTGTTTCACTTGAATCCGATACTTTGTTCAGACAACATTCCCAAGCAAAATTCTTCTGAATGATCTGAATCTGCATGAACCCCACATGGGTAAAAACTGTATCTTTCTCATCTTAGAAAACATATTGTATTTTTGCAGTTTGAATTGTTAACAAATACAGTAAGAGGAATCCTTGCAGCTAGTTATGTGCCAAAGATAAGTGCCCTCCTGATTATATCCTATTTAGCTTATCAAATAAATGTCCATGATTTGTCCATGATTTGTGTTCAGAAATGCTGGAACTGAAGAGTTGCTAGACATCCAGTCGACATTTTGCTTAAACTTTTTTTGCTGCCTGTTAGCTAGTTGAATAATTCTCAGTAGGTTCCCTGGAAGAGGAGGAGATTTTGCTGATTGTGTGTTTCTATAATAGTAATCACTGTCTGTTTTGCGCTGCCCACTTGTTTCCATATCAGATGCTTGATCATTGAAACAACAGTAATTAGAAGGATACAGAGTTAACACTCATCTCTATTTTTGTCTATGGAATTAACAGGTGACAACGGGGAAATGTCTACAATGAAAGATTTCAGCTCAGTACTTACGAGCTCATTGGTAATGCAAATCAAGTACTTCAGGACTTCAGGAAGGGTGAGAAGTGTCTTGAGGTGCTGCATGTTGTGCTTACTGTTTGTACAACAGGGTTTCTGAATTCTGGGCCTTGTGGATATCTGGCTTTATTCAAGCCGAGCTCTCAGTCATTTACATTGAACCGAAATTACTGTATCACTATCTCCATATTCAATGTTCCCCAGTTCCCCAGATTTGGACAATTTAAATTTTCCCAATCCTGGCCTGGGCGATGTGTGAGTGTTTGTACTGGAACGGGACAGCTCAGAGGAGTGACTCCAGTGGCCTGGGCAACGTGTGAGTGTTTGTACTGGAATGGGACAGCAGCTTGAAATCCTGGTTGTGATGAAAATTATCACTGAAAAAAAGAGTGAGGCCAGCTCACCAAAGGAAAGTCATCCGGGTCAATCCACACAATGCTGAGATCTGGGTTGTTGGTATTGTCTCTTGCCACTTCTTTCAGGATCTCAAGGAACTCAAAGCCATCTGAAGTGAAAAATGAATGAATATATATAGTACCTGAATACAATTAATTATTCACTGTGTGTCCCACTCTGAAAATAGGCCTGATTTCACATTAATATTACACTGGTCCTAAGTGAATGCTACAATTCTGGTAGTATTAAATGTGAGCCTAAAGCTCCCAAACAACACTGCTTAAAAACATTGAATTAATTTAAAATTAACTTTGCACTTGTTTTGTTTGGAATTGTACTTTATACAACTATCCGGACTGTCATGGCAGCAACATTCAAAACTGCGCATTTTCAGATGTTGCCTCCAAAAAAACCTGAGCCACGTTACACTGCAACACAACACTACTCTGAAAGTCAGTTGTAACTGCTGTCTGTTTGTGTCAGACTGCTGCCAAACAAAACAGCAGTATCAATTGCTCATGCTCCACCTTTGAGATTCTACAGGGCACAAACTTAGTCTTTGACAAACTTGGGGCCCTGGTATGATTACCTGAGATGCTATCTGCGTGGAGTTTTTACATTCTACCTGTGCTAGCATAGGTTTCCTCCGAGTATCTATTGACTGTCTATTGACATACTGTCACATTGACTGGTTTCTGGGGAAATTGGCCCTGGTGTGAGTGTGTGAGTGTCTGTGTGTGTCCTGTGATGGACTGGCATCCCGTTAGGGGTGAAACCTGTCTTACACCTGTTGCTTGCCAGAATACACTCTGGTTCCGCCATGTCCCTGTACTGGATAAAGCACTTAGAAAATAGATGGATGCATTATGTCCTTTCGGACTACATAACATCACACGTGCAAAAACGATAAAGCCTTCTTTCATCCGTCCATTATCAGAAATCCACTTATCCTGGCAGGAGTCGCTTCGATGGCAGCACTCCAGTCCCTCATAGTAGAGCCCCAGAGAAAGGGACAGTTTAGAGCAGCTTAGCCAGCATTTCTTTGGCTGATAGGAGAAGACCACAGCAACCAGCAAAAACCCATGTGGGCACAAGGAGACCAGAAATCCCCACAAGGGGAACCTGGCGCTGGCATCACTCCCAGGACCCTGGAGCTGCGATGGGACGGCACTAACCACCGAGCTCACTTCCACGCCTAAATCTCTTTTATACCCTGACAAATATGGAGCCATAAACTGTAATCTGTTCCACTTTACAGCCCTCAGACCAGAACAGTGGTTATAAGATGGGGGGCATGCTTTCCTTCAACAGGGTCACAGAAGCCTTACAGTGCCTTAAATGAGAGGCAGTGCCAACTGGAGGAGTGATCCCGTTCTCACTGACAGCAAGGTCAGTACAGTCTCTGTTGCCTTACAATCTGAGGACAGCCTGGACATCTCTAATCCACCCAGCCCTTGGAGTGTTTGTCCACACAATGACATAACCCTTACAAATTGATCTTGTCTGGTCTGCAGGCCCTGGACTCTTCTTGAATCAGCACCTTTACCGGTTCAATCACTCGGAAACTCCCAGATGATCTGGTTGACCATGTTTTATTCACACTTACCAGGATCTTCTTCTTCTGCGAAAGCAACAATATGAATTCCATCCATATCATCCTCCTGGGAACAGAATTTTCATCAAAAAGGTTTGCATCTGACAAATTGATTTGAATTGATTGAAGTGATTTTTCAAACCTAACACTGTTTAAATGCGATTGTTAGCCCCATTCAACATTATACATGCACTTGTCTTAAGCTGTTATTAAACATAAGAAATTACTGCACTACAGAAACTAGTCTGCTTACATTTACTCAATGGCTAGAATGTCCATTGACAAGGTCTGCACTCAGGGGGTTCTACCCTTGAACAATTTTAAACTGACAGATAGCAGTTAAAACAGGTGGCACTTGAAAATAATGTGCTCAGTACTTAATGAGATTCATCTGCTTTTGGCTCACTGTCAGTCTCTGTGGTGCTTTCAGTCCTGTTGCAGTGCCTGACAAATTGTCACATTTTCATTCATTTCCATGCTAATGGCCTGTCTGGGTTTATTCAATTGTATTTGCTCACTTTTGTGTAAACTATGAAAACTAAATTTAGTCTGCAAACATCATTGAAATAAATTTCACACAATGAAGTCAAAACGTCAACAGCTCAACAACGGCTCAAATACAAATCAAGTATCAATTAACACTACTGGATTACAATACCATGATCCCAGATTCAAGTCTATCTTAGATTTGCGTGGAGTTAGGTCTTTCAGCTACTCTGTCAACACCTTCTTTGGAACGGTGATAATGGGTGGGGTTGAAACAGAATCATATAAGCTTGTTTAGGGTGATGTAATTAGCGGAGTACTCCAAGGATCTGTACTAGCATCACTAATCTTTCTGATTCATATCAATGATCTATATAGCTGATATACAGTACTACTCAAGTTTGCACATGGTACCAAATTAGGAGGATTATCAAACACAACAGAAGAAGCAAATGAAATTCAAAATTGTAAACCCCTGTCAGATTAAATTTAATCTATATATATAAATTTGGGTTTTGCATGCAAGTAGTAAAAACATAAACAATTAATATAAAATGGGAAATGCTAAATTTGACAAAGCTACTTAAGATAAGGCTCAATGTTGATATGTAATTAACATCCTCAAGCTAATGCGTGGAAGCAATTAAAAAGGCAAAGAAAATGCTAGGATATCCAACTAAAAGCAGAATTTAAAACAAGGGATGTCATGTTAATATTGTATAATACACTAGTAAGACCTCATTCATAATACTGTGTTTGATTTTGGTCACCATTTTATTTAAAAGATATTACTGCTCTGGAATCTCTGGAGGCTAGAGAAGACGAACTGCATACATTCTGAGGCTTTAGGGAATGTTCTACACTGAGAGACTGAAAGAACTGAACCTTTTAGTCTTGAACAGACGAGACTACAAGGGGACTACAAGGGGACTTGATACAAGTATTCAAATTCCTCAGTGACAGTCCTGCAGATTTCTTCAGAACAAACATGTGATTTTAAAACTGAGAACAGGGGGCATTTTTTATCCATACAAACTAGCTATGTTATTGAAGGCGATACCCTTGTTTCTTTCACAAAATAGTTGAATAAGATCAATTAAAGCCCATTACATTAAGTACTGTTTACTACTAACTACCAAATGGGCTAGACAGGGCAAATGTACTTGATTACATGTTATTTATGTTATGTTATTACGTTACTGTTTTTGCTATTCTGTTACTGTCTATTGTCTTATCTTCTGTCCTATTTATATACTGCACCTGAGTGACTAATGAGAAACACTTTTCATTATACTATGCACCTGTGTAAGTGCATAGTAAAACTTACTGTGTAAGTTTAATGACAATAAAGTTGAATTGAATTGAATTGAATTGACTTGAAATGGCCTCCTCTCATCTGTGACCTTAAAACCTCTAATGTACTTCAAATTCATGTCAAAGGTCTCTGAAAATCACATTTCGATTTTCAGAAAATGCATCTATGAATACTTGAAGCTGAAGGCAATGTACTGACATGAATGAGAATATGATCAATGATGAATCAATGTTTGCAATTTTTGTGCTATTGAAAAGCCTGACCTCCTTTTCAGTGCGATCTGTCGGTTTTCTAAAGGGTTGACATGTAGCAGTTCCTGGTATGCAGGTCCTGCCAAGAGTCACGCAGCATGCCACTGCATTCACTAGAACACACATGCAGTATTCACAGGCAGTTTAATAGAACCTCATTTCTAAGTGAGATCATCTTATCAAGTCATAGAAGAGCATTGGTTCTTACCCATGTTTCAAACATATCTTCAGCACGTAGCTTTCTCAGAGTGGGCCTGGAAAAGACAGTCATTAGAAAATACAAGTCTGACCAGTGGGAATTGTTCACATCCTCAATGGGAACTTATTCCTTGTTAAACCGAACTGCACTTCCGAGCAGCTCAAGAGATGAAGATGCTTGTCCTGAGCACAGGCTGAGCTCTATGACCCAGGCAGTTTGAGTTCAAACCTGGGTCATTTCACTATCCAGCTGTAACTGGGAATCCCCATGGAGGTTTATGATTGGCTGAGGGCTTTCCTGACTTCCCTGTAATTACCCAATAGCCTAGAAGCTCATGGTGATGTCAGTGTCAAACATGCCTCTCCTCCTATCAGTGCAGAACCTCCTGTACTGCATGGTCAATGCTGCAGTGTGTCCTAAGATGAGTGGACAGTTCAGTTATTTTTCCTTTCATGTCTTCAATTCGGAGCCATGAATTTGGCGCGCAGCAGAGTTTGCAGCAGACAGAGAAGTGATTGCACTGCAAGGCACTGCAGGGAAGCTGCTATGTGACTGAAGATGATCAGACTGATGGGGTTTCAAGTCCCCCAGTTCTCTCCAGGAGTATTGTCTCAGAAAATCTGAAAAGTGTGTTTACGGATACACCACTACGGCAAAATAAACAACCTGCCACTGCCAGAGGCATCCGTCTAAAATAATATGCTTCTTTAATATTCCTTTAAATAGCTTTTTATATCCATCCCTTCATTTTCTAAACTCTGTCCCAGCAAGTAACGTTTGCAAGGCAGGATACACCGTGGATGGAATGCCAGTCCATCGCAGGGCAAATCTGTTAGGACTGACTAACACACATTGAAACCCGGACAGTTTTCCCAGAAGCCAATTAACTTACCAGAATGTCTTTGGACTGGATAAATCCCACGCAAACACGGGCAGAACATCCAGAACTCCACACAGACAGCACCTCCAGAAATAAACTCAGAGCCCCAGCTCTGCGAGGAAGCAATGCTAAACACTGCAACACCGTACCACCATACTGTTTTATATACTTTTCATAAGCAAGAAAGGCTACGAGCAAGAGTAGGGATTTTGGCCCATCTAGCCCATTTCCACTTTGGCTAATACTTAACTCATACTTTTGAAATACTGCTATGTTGAAATACATTTCCAAGTTGATTTTGCTGCAGATATATGATATTGTCTTGGCTAAAACGTCCTTTACCTTTTGTGTTCATTCACAAAGTCTACAATCTCCTCTTCTGTGTGTGGCTTTCCTGGAATAGTCACCGGCTCTTCCATGAAAGGTTCATAGAAGTCCACTTCATTTATTTTCAGAGTAAGTTGCTTTGCCACCTGAAAGAGAGCAAAAAGTCATTCTGTGTCTTGATCCACAAGGATGGTTGTTCAGGCGATAAGGAGTTACAATGGGGGACTGCAGAGAGGAGTGAAAATTGAAATTGAAAAGAATGTGGAATTTATCTGACAGAAATCACAGAATACCCATTTATTGGGTTAATGACAGAGATAACACAGCATTCCCATTTAAAATAATGTATCTGCTGGGGCAGCTAGTGCTATGAATTTACATTTAAATCCTTTATATTGCCTTGTTTGCCCTGGGGTTAGGTGAAGAACATACTCAAATTGTATTGAAGTGATGAACCAACTGATAGATGATGTACTGGACTTGTTCACCTCTGATGGCAAAATGGAAAGTCTTTTTATGAAATCCATTTGTTTTCATCAGAGACATTATTCATCTTTTTAATTCTTTTGTTATTCACATGCTTACAGATTCATCATTTCAGCACATGGTGGTGGAGAAAAAAGGAAGCATCACTTACTCCTTTGTCAAAAGTAGCAAAGAACTTAATATATGGCTGAAAGTGTTCTGCAGCCTCTTGGAAGGCTTTGAAGTCTAGGAGAAGAGAAGAGAAAAACATGAATTGTGTCACAAAAAGGTCAGACCTCATAATGAGTGGCCCAGGTTTCCCTAATCCTACACTTGTCCTACAGTACTTCCCTGACACTGGTGTACCTCCAGAACACACATCTGAGTGGCAGGACTGTTCTTACAATCACTGGCTTCGTAAAGAGCCAACTGTAAAATACGCAAACGGCTACAAAAACTGTTGAGGCACTTCTCGCCATCAGCAAATGTTACTTGCATTTAGTCACACATCAGGTCCCTTCTGAACGCGAAGCGAAATTTAGACAAAAGCTCCATGTGTTTACTTTACACAGAGTGCAAGAGAGCTCTTTCTTCTGTGATAGATGGATAGATGTGTACAAGATCATAAGGAAGGTCACAAATGAGGAGGCCATTCAGCCCACTGCTTTTAGCTCATTTAGATACTAGCAGTTTGTTGATCAGAGGGTTTAATCCAGAAACCATGAAGAAGCCAGGGTTTCAGCTTCAACGACATGGCTGGGCAGCTTGTTCCACACTCCCACAACCATTTGTGTAAAGAAGTGCCTCCTGTTCTCTGTTTTAAATGCACTTCCTTGTAGTTTCTACTATAGATATTTTTCGTTTATAGTATACACAACTGCACTGGAACAACTTCTCTTAAGCCGTTTATTTAAGGCTTGTTGAATGAAACTTGTTTTGCATAAAGTTTTTTTAATCTAACTAGATGCATCTTATCAACATGTACACAAATGTGCCAAATGATGTATTCATGTGAAATCTAAAAATGGTTTTGGAGGTCTGTCACTACAAAGCAGCTCAGCTTTCAGCAAGGGGTATTTAAGAAAAGGTTACATGATCATCACGTGTCCTTAAAAGAAGAGCAACATAATTGCTTCAAGATTACTTGACTAGCAAAGAAGCTATTTAAAGCTTTGTTGTCACAAGGGGAAACTGACAGTCTTCGTTGCAGAAATCTATATCTATTATTGGCTGTTGTTGTTAATGTTTTCCTGCGTGCAGATAAGTGCCAGTTGGGAATACTGGGCATACATGGAGATGGGACTGTTAGCAGGCATAACTGATTTTCAGCTGTGACACTATGTATAGATGAAAGTTAGGAAAAAATTATATTACCTGCATCTGGCTCTATGTATATCACACTTAATGTACAGCTCTTAAATAAATACATAGTTATTAAGCTGAAAAGTAACCAAGGCTTGCCAGTTCATACATGCTGACTTAAATGGTAAACTTAGAGGTTGAGAGAAATCAAAGGATGTAATTACTCTTAGGTTTTTAACACTTTAACAATAATCTGACATACTACTGGATACAGTGGAAGGAAGAGGTATAAGAGAACATGCAAAAGACAACGAAAGACAAAAAAAGAACTCACGCTCTGAGTCTTCGTCTTTGAAATACCCAATGAGTTTGATGTCTTCGTCGATGTTATCAAAAGCTCTGAGCTCCAAGGTGTTGCTAATGAGCTCCACAGGGTCTTCCAGCAACTGGTAATGAACAAAAGCGTACATCAGCGGGAATGAAGGAGGCACCCTGCACTCGCGGCACTAATGAAGACGGCCCTTTCCTGGGTCAGGACCCATGTGCATGGAGGTCCTTCACAGGGCTGTTATGTTCCATGTCATGTCTGACATATCCAGATTTAAAGAAATTCATGCCTACTACAGCCGGTTCAGAATGTGGCACCAGCTGCTTGAAGTATAAACCCTTTATCATTGTTTGTCGACCTCTTCTCTATTAAGAGCTGCTTCAAAAATACCAATGCTATTAGATAGTTATTGCACTGTAAACCCTGAAAATGTATATGCAATTCTTTGTTTCATTTACAGCATTTAGTACAATTACAGCATTTACTGCCCGTGTTAAGTACACGGTTTTGAGATCATGTGATTTATGCATATTATTGGTAAACCGTTAATACAATCATAGAATTAACGAAAATGTGCTTAGCAGACTCTCTTTCTATTCCCTTTTTTGTTTTATGATCATTGGGTAGTTTCTGTTTGTTTTTACTTTTAAAAGTAAGGAAGAGCGCTGGACTTAAAACAGAATTTTAAATGTAAAAATGGGCTCTTAAAGTTTAATCATTATAGGCCAGGGACTATATTCTTTTATTGTAGAAAACTGTACACTTAATACTAATAGTGGGACCAATGACACTCTGACAGCACCACCTGCTAAAGACTCTCCTCACAAATTTGTGAAGCCCTATGTCTGCTACCTGTCCGATTCCCTGCTTGTTTAGTGCCGTAGCTGATGTGACTCATTGAGCTCCACATGGACTAGGTTGTTGAAACAGAGTTACTGTCTGCAGTAATTGGAAAAAGCATCTGGCTCTTAAAGGGACCTTCAGGAGGGGGGTGCCATTATCACAAAAGATCACTTTTTCCAGCATTTGAAAGATATCATCTGTCTTAGTCTGGCAGTGCAGTACCAGCAAGCAGGGGGAAAACCTGAAGCCACAAAGGAAAAATTGTGGCAATTAGTTGCTGGTGAAACACTGGGGGTAATAATACTAGAAGTGACTGGTGAAATATTTCAGATGTCTAGACGGTGTTCCAGAAGATAAATTCTCTCATCTTATCTTTGGAAGTCTGTCCCATCATGAGAAAAGCAAGACTTGATGTGTGGCACATCAAACGTGCCTTTTAGTGAATCTATTTTAGTATTGGTATCCTTGATGTTTGCGTAGGGGTGGGTATTACATGTGTATATGTGTACTGTTTTTTTTTAATTGTGGCTTTTAATGCTCCATTTTGCTGTTAACGTCTTAAATAGAGACGTTTTTCACTGTTCTTTCGCAACCACAGTGCAGATACAACCTTTTACCCTCCCACACACGTTCTCTTTTCTTGCCAAAGTGAAATGGCTCTCAGACGACTTCCAGGACACTGCTGCATGAAGTGAGTATCCGTAACCCTATGAAGAAATCTTTCTCTTTTTCTCAAGACTCAGGCAAGGCCTTCATTATGAAGGAGGCTCGAACTGTTGAAACCCCACTCCCACTCACGGGTTATATCTCTACCACAGGTCCTGGGGGAGGCTGCTTCTTTTGTGCGGCACTGATGAGCATACTCTACTCTATGTCTTTAAGTCCCAGGTGACTTAGCCATAGTCAATGCGTTGAAAGAGCAGTGAAATGATCCAGGATATTAAGACATTGTGCAGTGTGTATTTCTGAGTGCACAAGGCTAGAAAGAATCTATTAAGTGGTTACCATATCTTGGCATTCAGCGTAGGTGTGCACTGTACTGTACAGTACTGTATATATTGTATGTTTAATGTTCACAGACCAAAACAAAAAGTCTGATATATGTAGGTTCTCTGCAGGAACTGTATGCAAAGATTTTCAATATGGAGGTCAGTCAGACTGAGTACATACTGTATTTTAATTGTGATCAGGACAATTACAGTATGCACCATGCTTTCTCCACGGCAACAGGTTCGTTGTTGTCTATGTTACTGCCCTTTTTTCATTAAAGACCCATGGAGATTCCACCTGGCTGTTTCCCCTCAGTCTATCTTACATCCAAATAAATTAGAGAAGCCCATTTCATCCCCTTGATGTCAAAAGACAAAAGCAATTTTCAACTTTTCCCACCAATACTTACATCTAAAAGGAACTCCACCAGAGTGTCCGCAGAAAGCTCTCCATCAAACTCTATCACGTGCTCATCTTTGAACACGTAGATGCTGCCCTCTTCTTCCAGACCTGAAAAGGCAGGAGAGATAAGTCCGCAACTTAACAGTGATTTGAGCACAGGCTGGTTCCAGTTCCAGGTGTTCCCCGTTATTCAACTGTAAAAACATTCAGATTAAGGATTCAAGTCTTGATTAAAATAATTTATGTTCAAAATTGCGTATACAGTACATCATTTGTAACTCAACTACTCAACAAAACAGGATATCACTGAATGGGGATGGATACCTTTGCAAGGCACTGCATGGTAGTTATTTTTCAATTTGTTATATAGCACCAAAACTGAAGTCGCCAAAACTGAATAAAAAAATAAATGGATGTCAAAGGTTATCAGCAGAAAGGCTTTTATAAGTGTGAACATGCTTCCTGGGGTTGTGTGATATCATCACTGGTGCTTCATGGACCAGGCAGCAACAGGACTGCATTAACAAGGAATGATAAGATGCTTTCCCATGCTTCATGCTCCATGTAAGTGAAGTCTGTACCACTTTCTTCTGTAGCACATATAGGAATATGTTTTCACAGTATTAATTTCACATTATTCTCTGAAGTTGTCAAGCCTTAATAGTCAAAGATTGAATAAGAAGTGTTCAAAGCAGCGTTAGCTCGCTTTCTGTTTAGAAGTAGTGGTGTGTTTTCCAGAGCTAGTGTAGGGAGGGTCTGGAGAGACTGGTATTGAATATAATCACCATAGAACAGGCTTCGTCATAACCGAGTAAAACATTAAATGTCAACAATCTTTTCTTAGCTTACCAAGTTTTTTAGCTACTTTGGCATCTTTCTTGGAATCCACCATCCCGAATCCTACGTCTTTGTCTTCTAGGACTTGTGCGGCCAGCTGAAGAGAAAGACAGAAACCAAGGACTGAGCCAGGTAAGGGCTCACAAGGAGTTACAAGCAATAAATCAAAAACGCAGGACCTGTAGGGAAAAGACAAAAGAATTGAACAATATAATTGGTGCATGAGCTCTGCTGACTGATTACCATAACAAAAGAAAAAATCCCATTCCAGCTTTTCTATCAGCCTCACTGTCCCTAGATTGTTAAACATGTAAGAATATACTGTATTGTTCTTCAAGAAATGACTAGATGAGTTAGTCTGTATATACTGTATACACTCTGTGTCTGCTCTGCAGATAAGTGCATTCTCTATCAAGGTACAGGCAGTGAAAGAGAGATTTGCTTAATTCTTATATCTAACTCTATAGAGATGGGTGGATCATTCTCAGTAGCACAATCTACTGAATGCTATTAGACTGGACAGAGTGGATACAGACAGACAGGGTGATAAAACAGTGACTCCTGCCTCTGTCATTGTGACTGTGATTCTAAACAGTGCTCTCTTTGGAACCCATAATAGAGAAATGCACTATTTTGCAGATATCACCCAAATGACATAATGTACCTCCAGCAACCTCATTTACTGTATCTCTTGCCAAAAATGCCAAACTATCTACGCTGGGGAAACCGGAAGGAGACTAGGAGAACGTTTCAGGGTACATGTTAGGGCTGGGAAGATGAAAGACTTCTCCAAGCCCATAGTTTCTCATTTCACCTCAGACGGCCATGATCACACTGATCTCTCTGCTTCCGTTCTCAAAGAAGGGTTTCTCAACTCTCATAGTAGAAAGACAACAGAAACTAAATTTATCCTGAAACTAGGTTCACACCTTCCCCCTTCTCTCAATGACCGATTTATTTTAGTGTAATCTTCTCTATTCTCGTGCAGCACTTTGCACTTCTTGAGTGGCCTCTCTGCCCCTCCTGCCTCCTCCCCTCTCACAGCTTTTGTTCTTCTGTGCTATTTAATCTTTGCTGTCTGCCCTGTCTTTCTCACACCTGAAGAAGGCTTCACAGCCAAAACGTTGTGTTTTCTCTCTTCTCTTTTCAGCATGGAATAAACGTATGACTTGTTCCTATTTTCCAAATACTGTGTACCAGCTCTCATTCAGATGATATGTGTGTGAGTCTCTTACAGCGTCAATGTGGGGTTGCACTGGAGAGTGGTAATGAACAGCAGCTGTTGACTTCAAGACGGGAGTCAATTTAAATTTAAAAATGAGGGTGTGTTCCAGGACTCTCAAGAGACTTTCAAACCTTGACTACAATACAAACTCTTCAGAACATTAGATCTCTCCACAGTCACTTATGTTTTGCTTGGCAGATCAGGCCACGCACTCTCTTTATTAATATTGTATGTATCATTATGAAGGTAACACTCAGTAAGACTGAGCCCTGAGGACAGACAGCTTAACATTTATTCACATGGAGAGATTAGTGCTTTATTTTATTTACAGCCCATTACAAAGAAGTCTGTAGCAAAAACTACAAACAGCACGTCTCTAGTGTTGAGAATTTCAGACAACTTTAAAAGAGCTGCCTGAGGATGTAGTATTGATTTTGCATGGGTGCAAACATTCTTTTGTTGTGTAAGAAGAGTCCAGATGGTTTCAGGGAATGAAAGGGGAATGGGGACTTTGTTTTCTGAATAAAGAAATGGAGTGATTGTAGACACACAAGATTAAACTTGATTTAGTGGGTTCAAGTATTCCAATTTATTTAAGTGTTGCACAAGCTTAGTTGACAATATTTCGCTACTATTTAAGTAGCACTCTAACCAGTAAAAATGCACCATGAAATTGAATAGTGAATAGGTTAAAGATAAGATAAAGAGATAAAGAGAAATTGTCTGTGAATAGATTAATCTTGTGTGTGTGAGGCACAAACACCAATTGGAACAGTGACTGGAGGGGGAGAGACAATAGAAAATAAACTCATTAAAATTTCAACGTAAACCAAGTTATAAAGATTACAAGACGTATAAAAAACAAGACCGCAGATGCAAACACGGGTCCCGTCATGTGCAGCACGCCCGTACGTTATGTGGAATTACCGATTCGATTTATTACACTCCCCCTCCTCAATCTGGAATCACTGGAGGCTGCAAGTCAGAGCTGGACGGAAAACAGATGCCGCTCACCCTGAGCGATGCAAACTTCAGTGGCTTGTTCAGCCACAGGGGGGCACTTAGCCAGTTAAAAACATACTGTAAGACAGGTCACATACGAGAGGAGGCTATTTACCCCATTTAACCTGTAAGGTAGAGTACAGCACTGCCGCTTGAGAATTCCTGCAGGTACCCGGGCAATGGCGTGACCCTGATTCGAATTGGTGACGCTCAGATTTTAGGGTGCTGCCGCGGTACGAGAACATGGAAAGAGGGGCGAGAGAGCCGTGCTAACCTCTGTGCCAAAGTGCCAACTGTGTGCATAATAAATATACTATTTTTACCAGTGTTCTAAAAATACATACACAGTATATACTGTTATAAAATGAAATTAAATGTCACTCAGGGGACCTGGCCATTTTATACGCTTGTAATTGGAGCCTCTATTAGGGGATCCAGGAATGTTTTTTCATCATGAAGTTGCCACAGTGAGTGACGTGGAGTGGCTGCTTTTGAAAGTATACTTTTGTATGTATTTGGAATTCAGACACCACATTCTATTCAGGATTATTAGAAAATTACCTGAAATTTTGTCCTTCAAAGTCTCTGTAGGTGGCAATTTTGGTTTGCGAAACCAGACTATGATTCATATCCTGTGAATCTACCAGTAAATTTTTAAGTCTGTTTGCTATTTACTTTTTCTCCGAGTTACTGGTAAAACTGTTTTACATGAACTGCATGAATACTGCATGTTAGATACTGATATCTTTAGAACTTTTTCTTTTTGCTTTCAATGCACTGTTAACCTCCATGTTTTATTTTTTAGAATGAGCATGTGCATGAAAAGACTTTGTTAACTTTAAATATGAGTATATTATGAGGGTTAATGAAAATCAGATTGCAGATTGCAGTTTCTCAGTTCTTCACAATAGGTCAGAAAGAATGTATTTTTAATGCTTTCCAGTTTAAAAACACTGAGCAGAAAAAAAGACGTTAACAGCCCAAGGACTATTTAAGGAGAAACATGTGCAGATACAAATTAAACTCAATCTCTGAGATATTTATTTGCAGCACAGCCCAAACACAAATCGAACCTGCCACACCAGAAAACTGGTCTCTTAAAAGCCCAGAGGAATGAAACTACCTCCTGGTCTCAAACGACTTTCATAGATACACATGTCAAAGTGACTGGATCTCTTTAGTCTTGAAGATTCAAGACTATTCTGAGCACTTGAAACAGCTACTTGGAATCCTGAAAAGTACAAAGTAGTCCAATAGTAAGACATGAACTTGAGCCCACAGAAGCAGCAGATACAGTAAACCCGCTGTGCTGTAGAGCCTGCTTTGTTGGACCGGTGGTTTGAACACTCTTAAGCATCCAAGGAAATGATACCACTGCAAGTGAAATTCAAGAAATGAGATGTAAGGCAAAAAACAAGAGGCACTTCTGTGCACACAGACGAGCATCTAGAAGGCACTATCACTCCATATTGCTGAAACAATATCTTCCTTTCCTTGTTGTGTTTTCACAATGAACTACAGTACACTAAACGTCTTCCACAGCACCCTCAGTATCTGACCAGCATTAATAGACTTGATCCAAGCCACAGCTTCACAGGGGTACATGCAGAAGCAAATGAAATGGGACCAGAGTCTCAGACACAGCCTGGGGTTCCTCGGAAATGCAGTACAAACACAGGTTGAACCCAGCATTCCCTATATTCTGGGGTTATGAGAGCTCAAGGGAGTGACACCACAAGTGCAGGCTTGGTGTACTCTTCAAGCCCTATTATGCACTCTAGGATGCAACAAAAGACTGACATAGAAAAACGGGGAAAAGAACAGGTAATATAATCTATTTTTGCAAAAAGTGATCTATTTTATTTATAGGGAGAAGCATGCAAGTCGCTCTGTTGGTGTGAACAGCCAGAACACGTGTGGCCTTCAGGGTCTGACAAATGGCCAAGACTCAAGTAATAGAGCTAAGAATAAAGATCTCATCTTTCCTTCATCTGCATGTCCAACAAAGGGCTGAATGCAGTTCATGCCCATTTTTATCACGACAAGTAATGTTCTTAGTAAAAAGCATTTAGCAAGGAGGACCAGCTGTGGTAGAACTGGGCCAATGGTCTGTCTAACTAGAACTAAATGAATGTTTGGATAGGTCACCACTCACTTTGAAACATTACAAAGTGATGTGTCACTGTAAAGCTAGACTGGATACTCAAGCTATTTCTTCAATATGGAAATTGCAAGCCTTAGAAACACCAGCTGAAAAGGCAAATGCTCACAATTGTCTGGGGCACCTGTTCTGCTCCTGCCCTAAGCTGGCCCAGTTAACCAACCCTGTTGAATTTTCCCAGTTAAATATTCTTTGCAGTAGTCAAACTAACCCATTCTGGTTACAGAACTTGTTGGTGCTGTCAAGAGTTCTCTAAAACTGTAGTCAGATTCCCTGACTTTTGCAGCTTGACTTGGCAGATGTGCAATTCATTCAATTTCAGACGGAAGCTTTGATTGCCTTTTTCTAAACATCTACATCTTCAATTGACCCTTAACTTTACTGCGCATCTCTTTCCCAAGTCATAATTTGCTTACTGATTTGTTTCTCAGTTATAATTCATCTGTTCTATGTTTGTTGCTCTTATTTTGGCCCTTCTTCCTGAATTTCCAATCATACACATCTTGCAGTTGCCCACTGTTAACTGTGTATGAAAAGACTTTGTTAAATATTAGTATATTATCAGGGTTAATGAAAATTCCTATCACCAAAGGCTTTGAAACAGGGAGTGCAAATGTTCTCAGTTCTTCACAGCAGGTCAGAAAGAATGTATATGTGGAATAACTACGCTGCATAGCTGTCTGTGTTTGATTAAAAAAAAAACATAAGATTTTACAATAGGCAAAGTTTATGTCACAAATGTATGATTTTCCTTTCACATGCATCTTTGAATTTGCTTGTGAAATATTAAAATCCACAGAATGACTAGATAACCAGTTCAATTATTAAATAAAAATCTCTTCCTGTATAAAACAAAATGGCATTAGGATGTCTAGCAGCAGTGAACCACAATACTGTATTTGAAACAAATAGAACTTAGAGGATACTCAGATAAACAGGAACTAGGACTGGATGGAACTGAAGTAGTCCAATTGAAAACTTTACAAGGCACTGCCAGGGACTTCATTACAGGTCTCATGATCTGGGGATTTTTCTGACCCAGGTGGACTATGGCTGCAGTTCTGTTGCCTCCATAAGGAGTCCAGAGAGGAGAGAAACAAAGTGGGTGTCCAGGCGCTGTGACTGACCAACTCCTTACCACATCCGTCAGCTGGAGATTTACTAGTGTGGCTTTTCATCTCTAAAAGTTGTTCCCATGATTTTGACAGTCAAATAGGAGAAGATAACAGCGTTTTTGACGTAAGTAACAAATTTAAGAGCTTATAGATTTTTCACCGCTCACTAGTTGGACTTTGCTTTCTGAAGACAGACCCTGGAAGCAATATGTCAGCAGAAAAGAATAGGAGCCCTAATACAGAACCCTGTGGGATGCCTTGGTTATGGGAATTTTGTGTTGGTCACAAGCTTCCTGCCCTGAACAATTACATTGTTGTAATACCCTTAATTGAGGTACTTCACATGAATGACTCCACTAAAATACCCAGTTGTATAATTTGGTGCAAATATGGGTTGGCTTGAATAAAAGTGTCATTCAAAGTAATAACTCAACCTGTGGCAAGAGACATGGTAAAGTTATCCAGTGTAGGTTAGTGTTAGAGCATGCAGTCAGATGCTGTTACATAACAGGGGGCATTTGGAAATCCCCTAGGATGCTCAATAGCTTTAAATTTTCTCATGAACTAATGTATTTCCTTTTGGCATAGAGGAATTCACTGACGACAAACACACTGGATTTGGCCCATTATCACAGGACCAATGCCGACATCCTTATTGGTCAGAACATAGAACAGGTTCCTGCAATGGGAGCTGGGATACTACTGAGACACCTGGGGAAACAATGTCACAGTATTATCTGAAACTATCTGATACCATTAGGCAGAATTCCTCTGAGAACTTCAGGAAGAAATAAAAATACAAACATAATGTCACGAGCAGCAGCAATGACAAAATAAAACATCTAGCACAAAAATGTAGTGGTCCATATTGATGATAAAATTGGATATGTATTAAAATGATTAGATATGTAATAAAAACATAAAGTAGGTGTGCAATTACTTTAAAGTTGCTTTTAACCCCCCTGCTTGGCATAATGCACCTGTTACTTCACATCTCCAGACAATCCACATTGCTTCACAAAATAACATCAGGCCTGTGAAACCCCAGGTATCTAAGAGCAGCATGTCAGTGTCCTGCATGATTAGGGTGTCTGGTTCCTTCAGCACTGAGCACAGCACCAGGGCCATACAAAGATCAGGCCCACAAACCAAGTGGAATGACAGGACTTCTGCAGGAGCAATGCTGGAAGATGTAGGTTGAAATAAATTCATTGATTCTGTACATTAATGCAAGGAACTTGTTGAAGCTGAAGCAAGAATAACTAAAGTTGAATTAAATGGTGTGATATGATGTAGCTCACACACGGGCATCAGACAGCAGATATATTTGAAAAATATATACATTAATAATCAATCTTAGGTTGGCGGTTTTGCTTAACTAAGACTTCAATGTCTCCCCTATGTAAAGAAATTTAATCCAAGAAAATAATTGTGCAGGTAATTTATGGGTTTGATATACTGAATAAATGTAGATAAAGTGTATTTGAATGAAACTGATATAACAATTAAGCTGAACACATGCAGAAAGGCTTTGCAGCACAAATAAGAATACAAAGTGGCACACAGAAATATTCCTGACAAGCATTGTAACTATTTCTTAGAGAACTAAAAGCTTATTTCCACCTAATACGTACAAATTAATTACTTATGGGAAGACTGAATTACTATCAGTATATATTTGTGCAAGTTGTAGCACTTGACAAAATATGAATGAATGCGTTAAAAAAATGTGAGTTAAAAAATTAAAACAACCTTACACTTCTTGTAGGAAACTAAAAACATTTTTTTGGCTGATGAACCTCTTCAGGTGTGAAAACAATTCATACTGTATGTTTAACTCTTAATTCAGATATCCTCTCGTTATGGTCCAGAACGGATTTTGTGAACTTCTTCTTCATGGTCCCAGACACTACTGTACATACGGAGAGCAAACTGCCATAATAGATGGAAAAGCAAAGCCAGTTTTGGGAAGAGAGACGTGTGAGAAGTATGAGCCCTTTGCAGAAGGTCAGCAAACAACTTCTCAAGAATAAACAGACAGCTGGCAGCAGAGTACTGCCACAGCCTGACCTTGAAAGCAACAGTATGAGCGTCTGCAGAGCGGAGAGGAACTGATCCCTTTGGAACAGGCAAGCACACATTCACGATCCCTATCCAAAACCCGATAAAGACTCAGTCTCCTTCGCTGCTCCTGTCCTTACCTCCAGCACCATTTCGGTCATCTGGAACTGTTTCTGATGCTCCTTGCTGGAAGACCTGGATTCATGGTACCAGAGACACAGCATGTCATATTTTTTCAGCGCCTTCTTATAGTTTTTGGCGTCAATGTCTATCACCCGATCTTTCCCATCGAAGCTGGGGAACTCCAGCCCTTCCTCTGCGCTGCAAAGGCAGGCTGATAGATAGAGGCAAGGCAGCAGAAGCCAGATAGTCTTCATGCTGAGGCAGAGGAGCAGCCTGAAAGGAAGCCCGTGGAGAGGAGAGGCTCAACTGCAGCAGGGCCAGCAGGATGGGAACCCTTTAATGTGGAGCTCTTCTCTGGCTCTAGTTACTCAGCCCTCTCCTGCTCCTCATGCCAGGAAAAGGCAGCCTGTCCCTCTCAGTCTCTGGCCAAGACAAAGAGAGAGACAAAAACGACAGGCGATCACAATCTGCAAGCTTCAGCTCGGATACCTTACATAGCTGTGCCCTCTCCCCTGCCATTTCAGAACCATTTTTAGGAAGCAGTTGTTTCGGGCTAAAAATAAATGCAGCAAATCAAAAGAGGACAGATATGACACCATTAGGGATTCGCCCAGCCTCTTTATCAGCCCAAGTGATGAGCCCTTTGTAAGATCCTGAAAGAAAAAAAAATTGCTTAATTAATTTACATCCAAAGTGGGATAGAAGAAACAACACTGAAACCTAGAGTGCAGCACTGCATTTTCGGTTATATATATGTATCAAAGATAGATTTTATTCAAAGAATTATTAATACATTAGTAAAACAATCAAATATTGCATTATACTAGGGATTCAAATTCTATTTTCACTATATTTCATATTTGAATAAAATACTTTTAAATGAAAAAATACAGAATTCTTATTTGTTACCTCACTTGTTGTATGGTATTTCATTGATAAGGATTTATAAATGCCTTAATTTGGATATTTTACAGAACAGATATGAAAGATAGACATCGGCCAGCCATGGAATTCACTTCATATATCAAAGGCTGTTGCTGTTGTTTTTATACAGCTACACTGTTTATTAGGTAAGTTCAGATATGAGGTGGGGGTCTTGGTGCATGCATACAGTATTAACACACTACAAACTGGGATGTGACAGTAGGGTTTAAATGTCAATGTGAGGGCAGAAATTACTCACCCTTTCCACCTCACAGCACTGCGGCTTTCCAGTTCTATCCACAGTGTGACATGAAAACCTTTGTATTGATCCACTTAGTCCTGGAGATCCTTGGTATTGGTGCTCACAGCTGACTGTGATTTTCACCAGGCATGTGAGTCCAGTGGATGAACCACTTAGGTTGTGAAACTCTTCTGAACAGCTCTGTATAAAAAACAGATTCATGGACATTGCGTGACAGACATCATCATCACCCTTTGGCACAAAGCACTCACATTTTGCTACGGTTATCAACTTAGGTATTGTCATTGTCTCGCACAACCATAAAACGAGTAGCTGGAATAACCAAGGTGTATGTACATATCTACCAGAGGTGAGAATGACAATCCACAGATGGCTGTGCCAAAGTCAAAGGTGTCTTCAGCTGAAGATGTACAGCAACATGAGTTTTTCAGAATGTCCTGGAATCTGCAACAAATACATCACATGATTTCTACCTATCGGGACATTCTCCCATGATGCAGTTTACTGGAAGTGTAGCTGTTGATAGCATACTGTATATAGAACAGAAGCCCCGAGTTTTGTTGTAAAGTGTAATGTCAGAGCAGATATGGAATTTATTACAGGAAATTAAAAATGAACACGAAGAAAAGAATGCTCAATATAACTAGAAGTCTGTTTGTTTTTTTTTTCTTTTTAAACAGTTATAGATTGAATATTTGTACAGTAACAAAGATGTTTAAATTAGTAATCCATCACCCAATACACCAAAAAAAAAAAACCCGTACTTGTTCCCTTTAACATAAGACTGTCAAATGGGTTTAAATTAAAATCAGTAGTAATCAAGCTGACCTTAAATAATCACTGAGTATAAAGCTGTTTTCACTGTGAATGTAGGGTTACTCCTTTGCTGTAAGTGTTAGGGATTGTGTTATAACTAATTGGCATCAATTAACTTAAATCAATTTTGTTGCAATTTTATTTATTTTTTTAGCTAAAAACATAAACAGGCTAGCCAGGTCACGATTACACCTAGTTTCTGTGATTCAAGTTATATACAGTACTTAAATATGAAGACTTGATAGAGCAATTAAAATAGGCAAATAATTAAGAGCACTAGGCAGACTGGCTAATGTTGCAGGCAGTCTTGCTCAGTTTGATATACTGTATAGACCATTTTGATACAGGCTGTTGGCAATAACTGCCCATCATGACTTCAAATAGTAAATCCAATATTATAACTGATTCCATCACTATTACGTGTTTTGTTTTCATTACGTGCGATGTAAGAAATCAATCATCTAATTACTAGTAGTCCAAAGACTTCATTCTCGAAGTGGTCAATTCAGTGCAAGCAAGTTTAAGAAAAATATGCTGACTGACCCTGGAGATCGATGTTCTGTCAATGAGAGCGGCCGCTGGCTGTGGGAGACGAGACCAGAGCGAGTATTAAAATCCGGCCTACGTCACAGTTCTGGTCAAGACCTCACGACCCCAGCGACCTCCGGGTTCTGTGGTAGTGGGCAGCTGCAAATCATGTGTCGAGTTTTAACACTGCGACAGCTCTGGGTTTCCAATAACACCCTCCCGGTGTCTTTTAACTAACCCTTCTATTACAATCCGAGTACAGTACGTGATTCGAAACACGGCATTGGTAATTATGCCATACAAACTGACTGCCTATATTTGCGTATTACTGTAACAAACCTTGATCCACAACACAGACAGAAGGTGCACATGCACCTATTTTAGCTATATTTTTAGTATGTATATGACCAAATAATAACATTAAATGTACACAGAAACGTGTTTTAAAATCACCTCATGTTTGCTGTAATGTCATGTGATAATCACTCTTCAGTTTGTTTCTGTATATTCAAGCAGATAAGGACGTACCCAGCATCCATATAAAATTTGTCTGTGTGTCGCTGGAGTAGTTAAACGAAAGAATTCCACATCATTACCCGGCATATAGGACACTTAACCATCACCAAAACGAGAGATGCTCTTATTTGTGAGAACATACGGTAACACATTTTGAGGAGAAAAGGTTTCCCAGACCTTACTAGGAGACGACCGAGTTTTGGTGCAGACACACTTGCATATCGAACGAACATGGAGACAGTAGGGTTGTTGTTGGTTATTTGTCCGTTACAGTTTTACTTATTTGGTGTCGGCGAAGCGGAGACAGGTAACCGGATCTCTGGGTCTTCTGTGTTACAATGCTGTAAAAATAGAACCGTCTAATCCGTCGTCGCATCCAGGATGTGTAGAGCTGCGCACATAGTTTAGTAGCCGCTTTCCATTCATTGTGTGTGTGGTCGTCCTCAGAGCAGACGAATTGCATTTGAAACTTATTGTTTTACGCAAAATAACATTAACACGGTCAACTCAGGGGCTGATTGCATTAAAAACATTTATTTCGATTGAGTTAGTGGGTTTATGTTAATAATTAGCCATTTTTGTGAAAACATGTAGCGTAAAGATGACTTCTGAAATGATAACATTGAGGCTTATTTGCATATACAAGCCCTTCACAAAATGTACATCTTAAACGCACTGTATGCAGTAACCTGTTGCAGCAGTTAAAAAGACAGATCTTGGGTTCATTTGTAGGATTATTTGTGTTCTAGCCATAAGGAGAGACTTAATTTATAGTGGTACATGATCTGGTTAATTAGTCATTTATTTGCAGAAGTGTATCACTAGGGAAGTGAATACACAACCTTCCAGTTATGAGTCTAGAGTTCTACCCACTGGTCCACATTTCTTTATGGATAGATGTACTAAAGTATCTGAAAATGTTTTGAAATGCTGTGAACAAAATATGTAGCATGATTTACTAGTATTCCTAATTAAGCTGTTTATATGAGAGTTCAAGTACAGTAGCTCTGCCAGAGTTTAAAGTAAAGAATAATGGGCCATACTCTCGATCAGCTGCAGTGCTAGCAGTTATTGCTTCTGTACTTTTGTTCTGTACCTTCTGTTCTCTGGTAATACGACTGGGCTTTAAAAAAGCCTAACAGCACTGAGCTAACCATTAGCCAGACCAGTGACGATGTGTGTGTGAACTTGTACCACTGTATTCACTACCAGAATTGTCCCTGGTCTGTTTTGCATTAAAATGGCCGGGTAAATTGACATTGACCTTTAGACCTCTCAGCCCCTCTCTTCTGCTGAGAGTGGGGTAAGTGCTGTGGTCCACATGACATGACCCGGGACTCTATATATATATATGAAGATAAGAGCAGAATAGAAAGGCAGTCAGGGGAAGGGTGTGTGTAGGGGGCAATGGACACTTAGTCTGTGGAAGAACTCTGCTCGTGTCCAGGTGGGCTGGGACCCTACGTACAGGAAACATCTTGTCCCAAAACATTAGCTAAATCCAGAATTCCTGCTCCCCAGTGTGGTTTGCAGAAGACGGTTTTGTCACTGTCTGGCACGGCAGGCCCGTCCGACTTGTCTGAGGGGCAGTGACATCCCTCTCTCAGATGGAGCACGTCATGTGCCTCTGACACAGTCTGCCTGCTTGTTGAAGTTCTCAAGCGTAAATCCATTCTAAGTACATAGCTCGCTAAGAATGATTACCAGAACCTCGTCAGAAATCAACGTCTAATGACTGCTAATACCTGCTGATACTGGCTGTTTCCTTCCACGTTTCTTTCCTGCCCCAGCTCAGCTAAAGTCTGGCGGATGGGAGTCGTTTTGATACAAAGCTCTTTCAATTGCCCGTGCGAATTGACAGACTGAGCTAAAAACAATGAGGGGGAAACACACGAGGCAGGTGTTCTTCTGTCCTGTCTTCATGTCCGTGGGGAGCACGTGTGTTTTCTCCAGCAAGGAACAGCAGTCTCTGTACCCTGTGGTGCTAAGCAAAGTACAGCAGGAAGCTTACCTGACCTCTGAAAACAGTTGGAGGACATATTTATATATATATGGAGGACGTACTCCTATCACTCGATTTACAAACGTGTGTCTGCGTTGTATTGACAATGTCTTTGTAACTGTGACAACTGGGTATGTTTCATTATAACTCTGGCAAAAATTTGTAAATCAAGGCGTGGGTGTAGAGTATATCCAGTTTGTGTCCAAACTGTGATGAGCTGTGATGAGTGGCCTCCTTTGTGAACTGATTCAGGACATTGTTTCTGATAACAGACAGTTTCCAAGTGAAGGGGCTGACTGCCTCCTGGTGAATGGCATAACATCATCGTTAGGAAGCACCCCTTTTTAAAGAACCAAACTGAAGTTTTAGTTTTGCAAGGTAGAACAGCCTCTTCTTATATCTTTATTCCTCTATAATTAACTACCAGATGGGCCATTTGGGGATAATAACTTCCATACCTTTGTAACTTTTCTACTGTTCTTATCTGTAACCTAATGATTACTGTCCTAAATAATGCTGCTATTAGTTGCTGTACTAGAAGAAAAAGTGGAAATGTTCACCTTGTTTCTGTGTACCGTTTTTGAGGAGCCCAGGCTGAGGAGCTCTGCCCCAGTTGGGAATTACATTTCAGGTCTTAATCCCAGCTATCTGTCTTGTTCTTGTCTTGTTTTGTAGGTGAAAAGTGGAAGAAGTACTTTGATAAAATCACCAAAGCCACAAGCCATTACGAGCCATGCAGTGTGAAAAACTGTAGCTGCCACCTCAGGTACAGTGTGAGCGATGTCAGGTTGTTGCAGTTATTATATGTAGTTTTCTGTTCTCATTTTGTTTTGTAGGTTTTCAATGTCAGTTTTAACAACAGTTTGTTTACCAAGGTGAGAAACAGTTCACTGAGACCTGGGGCTGATACAATTACAGACCTCATTCTACAGTATATTAGTTACCTTTGCATGCTTGGACTCAAATTATATGGCTGTTATTATTAGGACAGTTTTTCCTCCTTATATAATCTTGGGATGTGTTCTGTTCCACAACTTTAGTTAGCAGCTGTGTTGTCCACTCACTCCTGTAAGACTCTCTATATTTAGAAATTGGCAGTCCTAAAAAAAATGGTATTTTTCTAGTTGGCAAAAGGTCATTTAAAATCATCTGGAACCATAACATGAGGTTGATTTTCATCTTCTTTAAATTGTCTTAAGTGGTTAGCCATTCTAATATAGTTGCATTTCTCAAAATTAGTTGGAAAACAACAGGTTTTGGGTATTTGTAATGAAATAAATTTGTAGTGTGTGAATGTGGTGCAGAAATCAGAACAGAGACTCAGTTCAAACTGCGAGGGATTGCACAGATATAAGAGATAAAATAACAGGAAATTAATAACACAAAAAAGCAGAAATGTGGACCACACTGTCCATGTCATTCAGCTGTCTTCAGCATTCATGTTGTTCTTTCCCAAAGCGTCTTGGAGAATGACCTCCGCCCTTTCCGTGGGGGAATCTCTAAGGACTTGCTCGTGGGAACGGTGCAGCGAGGTGTGGGGACACACTATCAGGTCATTGGCGGCAGACTGTACCGAGAGCAGAGCTGCATGTTCCCTGCAAGGTGAGCTCATGGCGTTCAGCCTGTGGTGCATCACACACGTACAGGGAGGGAGACCAAGTGAACGCAGGTGGTTTGACTCAGTCTGGGCCTCATACCTTTTCCAGATGTTTCCAGTCGTTTCCAATACAGATCTACTGAAGCAAATTTAAGGTGTTTTAAGGAAATTCTGATTGATCAGAACTTGAAAAATGGATATTAGCTTGATATTACCTAGAGAGTCACTCATACTGAAGTAGTGAGCCTTCATCCTAAATGTAAGACACATGTATCATAACTGAACCTCAAATTCACTGATAAAAAAGTATTTTTCTCAATCTGATCAGATCTTTGACTTTTCCTTCATTAGTCTGGAAGTTGATGACTTTGCATTATAGTGCATCGCAGAAGATTAGTGAATTCCAGCATATACAAGTTAATCCTAGCGTTGCTTATTTAATTAATAACCCAGGTCATGTGCTGAGGTTAACAATGAGCTAATGGGGTTAACGATGTGCTAATGATTAAGAACAGAGAATCCAGGTTGCTGTTGACAGCATCACGGCCCATGCATTGTATGGACTAAAGGGGCTCAGCTTCTCAGGAACCTGCTGCGCTCTTCTGAAATAATAATAATTAATAAATGCTTACACTTGTATAGTGCTTTTCTGGACACTCCACTCAAAACGCTTTACAGGTAATGGGGACTCTCCTCCACCACCACCAATGTGTAGCATCCACCTGGATGATGCAGCGGCAGCCATAGTGCGCCAGAACGCTCACCACACATCAGCTATCAGTGGGGAGGAGAACAGATTGATGAAGCCAATTCATAGGTGGGGATTATTAGGAGGCCATGATTGGTAAGGGCCAATGGGAAATTTGGCCAGGATGCCGGGGTTACACCCCTACTCTTTTCGAGAAACACCCTGGGCTTTTTAATGACCACAGAGAGTCAGAATCTCAGTTTTATGTCTCATCTGAAAGACGGTGCCTGTTTACAGTATAGTGTCCCTGTCACTATACTGGGGCATTAGGACCCACATAGACCACAGGGTGAGCGCTCTCTGCTGGCCCCACTAACACCTCTTCCAGCAGCAACCTTAGTTTGTCCTAGGAGGTCTCCCATCCAAGTGCTGACCAGGCTCACACTTGCTTAGCTTCAGTGGGTTGCCAGTTGTGAGTTGCAGGGTGATATGGCTGCTGAAATGTCAGGCTCTGACTGAGCTCCAAGATGCACTGCCTGTGCCCTGCTTGTCTAGGTGCAGTGGAGTGGAGCACTTCATCCTGGAGGTGATAGGCAGGCTTCCAGACATGGAGATGGTGATCAACGTGAGGGACTACCCACAAGTGCCCCGGTGGTCTGAGCCAGCCCCGCCGGTCTTCTCTTTCAGCAAGGTGAAGACTGCAAATTAAAGACAGTTTTCCCTCTCTTTTCCGAATCACGTGGTGATTACACAACGGCGAGAGCTGTCACTTTGTTAGGACTTTCCGTTGAGGAGTGCTGTCACCTGGCTCCTTTCCTCTGAAGAATCAAGGAACTTGAAGGTTTCTGTAATAGGAAACTATATTGACAGGATTATGGATTGATTCATTATTTTGCCGTTGTATGTTGAGTTTTTTAAATAAAGCCCAGTGGCTGGTCTATACAGGATGCCCAGTCCTCAGCATAAAAACTAGAGGAAACAGTAAACTCCTAATTTCAGTGTACTTATTTACAGTAGCCTGAATAATGCAATAATGCAAATTTTGCTTTCTTTTATGTTTGCGCTCATGAGCGTGGTAAATCTTCTGATGTAATTTGACTATTGGTAGATTCATTTTATCTTTGTCCGCTTTGGCTTTAAACCAGACCCATTGTTTTACTCTGCATTTTGTGTTGGCAGACAGCTGAATACCAAGATATCATGTATCCAGCATGGACATTCTGGGAAGGAGGTCCTGCCGTGTGGCCCATCTATCCCACTGGTTTAGGACGCTGGGACCTAATGAGGGATGAGCTGAAAAGGTACAGTTATGTACCAATGTGAAGGAAAATAATTAATTATTATAAGCAGTAGTGATGCTGATATTCAAGCGTCTTTATTCAATGTGATTTACAGGGAGTACAGTTTCAAAAATTCAGGTGAATATTCATGCCATTCATTCCAGATTCACAGAAAACGTTGTGTTACCTGACATTTGACAGATACTTTTTTTATAAGCCACGTAATGTACAAAATACTGAAGACTGTCTTGAATTGTATTAAGAACTATGCAAGGCTTTTTATACGACACGTATTCTTATACTGTTGGGACTGTACTGTATGTAATGCGCTTCACATTTCTGAAACCTCTTAGTCAGATTCAGTTTCAGATCAACCTTTGTGCAAATTGAAATGTCATTTATACTTATTTGTCTTGTGCATTGGACTATTGTTGAGCATATCAGATGACTGAGAGAATAAGCCATCGTTTTTTTTTTAAAGTGCAAATAAAATATCAGTGCAGTTTGATCAATTAGCTAAAGTGTATTTGGTTACATTAGTCGAATCACACAAAATCAAGTTACATCTGTCTTAAATCATATTTTGGCTCAACATGAAAGAGTGCCACACCTGTTTTACATACCAGGGGGTATTTAGAAGGGATTTAGAAGGAAGGTCAAGAAAAGGCTATGTGTAGTTAACAGGGAATGACAGGCGTGATCCAGTACTGAAGTGCTGGTCTTTGTTAAAGATACCTTTGGTCTTGTGTTAAAGGTCGGCTGCCCAGTGGCCCTGGAAGAAGAAGGTGCCCCAGGGATTCTTCAGAGGTTCAAGGTCAGTTTTTGAGGTGTCTGCTTTGGACACGTCCTGTTGTTTTTGTAAGACAAAAGGTGCCCGCTGTGCATTTAGGAGTGAAGGCTTTTCCATTAATGTTAGGGCTCATCTGCTTGGTCACTAGAGGTAGCAAGTGACATGCATTTTAAGCGTACTAGCCCCGTACAGAAACAAATAGCAGTTCAGTCAAGGATGTACATTGGTAACTTGAGGTTTAACTGCTTTAATTGAAGGATATGTACCAGTTTACTAACTTAAATGCGTTAAAGACAACGTTTCAGCTGTGGAGCCTTCTTCAGGGGTGAAACACCTCCCCTGAAGACGTCTCCACAGCTGAAAAGTTATATCTCTTCTTTTCAGAATGGCATAAACCTTGACTTGTTCTTTTGCAGCCTACGCATGCTGACGCAGCTACCTACTTAAATGCTACATGCCTGATTTTTGCATCATTATTAATGGTGTTAAAGTAAAGCAAGTGATTACAGACCTCTGGATTATCAGTGAAGCGGAATGGGTACACTCCTAACACCTACAGTAGATTAATTGTTGGCATTGTTTAATGTTTGATGTTCCTCTTCATAGAACCAGCCCAGAGAGGGACCCTCTTATTTTGTTGTCACGTGAGGCTCCAGACTTAGTGAATGCAGAATACACTAAGAACCAAGCCTGGAAGTCTGAAAAGGTAAATCAGCCTGTCAAAGAGTGATGGCCTTCTCCTAACTGAGCCATGGCTTTGACACTCTCTAGAACGTTTCTGGCTATTCTAAAGACATTTTCTGGGTACAAACTGAAGTTTCTTTGCAGCTTGGTTTATGACAGAAATCCTTCCATTTTCTAATGGCTTCTGTGTCATAGGGGGAGCTGGTCACACATCGCAATATGAGACACACTCATACTAAGTTCAATTTTCACAGAAACCACCTAAATTAAACAGAATGCCTTCTAAATTAAACAGAATGCAGTTAAATCTCTCTCTCTGCAAACCTGGATGCTGCAAAATAAATGGGAGCCTATCTCCTTATTCTAACAAAACACCCCTAAGCAGGAGTCGGGAAATCAAAGTTTCCTAAAAACACAGAAAAGCAAGGTTCAAATACTTAACTCCAATTGGGTTTTGTTCAGATGAGCATTAAGAAGGGGCTCTCGCCTGGCACAAGCTTCAAATTCACTCTATCCTCTTTCTCTTGTGGTCTGACCTTCTTTCTGCTCTTTTTCTCCTCCTTTCCTCTTTATTACCTCCTGAACTGATCTTTATAATGTGTTTCTGGACAGTTGATTGACACTGAATCATTTATCTCCAACCTAATTAACTAAGGTAAATCAAGGTAAATATTATGAGTGCTTTGATCACAGACTCTGGAAGTCCTACATCTCAGCAAACATTCCCTCTGCTTTGAAGATGGAGATGGTTAGACTGTCGATGTGTTATACACTTTATCTTAGAGGCACTTCCTAGTCACCTGTAGCTGTAACAATATAAACTCCATACAGATAGCATCTCGGGTCCAGAATTCTAGCAAATTCTGCTTTGCTATTTAGGAATCGTTCAAGACTAAAATGTATAGATTCTTAGCAGTTTATGCTTCTAGAAACTTCATGAGCAAGATGGGCAGAGTGGTCCCCTCTCGGTTGTAACCTTCCTTATGTTCTCCCATCGTAGACACACAAGCTGTTCCTCCTCCAGAAATCCAGTGGAGGAAAGATTCTGCACTATAGTTGACTATTATTTAAGACCGTTTAACACTCTGAACGTGACTGTTGAACATTACCCACACGTGAGAGAAGCAGTGCTGTTACTGTTCTTCCATTTGTTTCTTTAGGACACACTTGGGAGGCCCCCAGCCAAAGAGATTCCTTTGGTGGACCATTGCAAATACAAGTAAGTATATAAACCTCAGTGGGACAAAAGGAAATTGCAGGAATTGCTTTGATTCTTTTCAAGTCTTGGTGATCCTTAGGGATCACTTGTTAATAAAACAAATTCTTATTTTAAAACATTTTTTTTATTTTTTAAATATAAAATAAGAATCATTCAAAATGTGTTGTGTCAATAACAAGTACCCACAGTAATGAGAGTATCCATTTCAAGTAGCTTGATATGAGAAGAAATGTCTGATCGTAGCATGTTTTCAGTGCATCAGTATTTCCAATGCACGCCTAAAGAAATAACTAAGCAATCTTCCTTCAACTTGGTAATTAAGACTTTCTCCCTTATTCCTGCCTGAATAGCTCTCAATAGATTCAGCTGATGATGAGTAGGGATAGGTGTGTAAGGAAAATGCATCAGGCACTCTCAATGAGTGTGTTTTGTTTTAGCTTTAGTCCACTTGGTCCCATGTGTGCAGTACTGAAACTCAATAAGTAGTGCAGAGCTTATACCTAGATAGCTGATATATTCTTAAATACGAATTTGAATAAGAGCAAAAACTATAGTTAACAGGGCTGGGGTTGTGAATCACTGGTGTAGTGTAATCACGTAGCAGTTTGTTTTGGTGCATAGTTTGCAGATTAGCACCTGGGGTTGGTAAAGGATTGATCAGCGATTCTCAACAATCGGTCTCCATTCTCAGCCAAAAGACGAACCCTGCTGCTTCCCGGGTGTTTTCCATGTAGCACTGATCATGCTGTGAGGCTGTGTGTGAACAGATGAATGGCTCAATGAGTTAGTGGGGTCAGTTGGGCCTGTTTGTTCTCCCTAATTCTTCTTGTGTAAAGCTTAAGTTAGTTCTGTGTACCCAGATGTACAGAAACCAATGGCAGTTTGAAAGTGGATGAGTATATAAAAAGAAGAAATTGGCAGTTCTAATGAAAAAAGAATGATCATCCTCACAATATGTTTTCCTTGTGTTATACGTTTTGTCTTCTGATTTTTTCAGTTCTTGCTAGTTACTGCAATCTTTCCATTCAGGAAGCATTTAAGTGTGTATTTGTCCTTCTTGTGTTTCTATACGTCAGGTACCTTTTCAATTTCCGAGGCGTGGCGGCCAGTTTCCGGTTCAAGCACCTCTTTCTGTGTGGTTCGTTGGTTTTCCATGTGGGTGAGGAATGGCTGGAGTTCTTTTACCCCCAGCTGAAACCATGGGTCCACTACATCCCTGTGAAACAGGACCTGTCTGATGTCAGGTAGATACAAGCCTTGTTCATCAAGTCTTTTCGTATAGAATATGATGTAGGTGTGCCTCATCTGAAGAACAGTTCAGTAGGTTGGTCAAATTCTAATAACTACTAAATGAGCCAACGTACATATAGGGGTTTCATATAGTACTTAATATTTCGGTGTTAACTTGCCTGACTAAGGAAATGACAGTCCTGTCCGAAGATTAGTGTCTCAACCTTGTCACTTATGAGGAATTAACCAGGGAGGCAGCTGCAACAGTTAGGTTGGGATGGAGGGATAGGGGCTTGAAACTGCTGTGCTCAGCTAGGGACCTATATATATATTAGCTGAAATAAGATTAGAATTTCACCCCCCTTATGAATTTCTGTTAAACACCATTATGTCAAAATTAAATCAAAGACAGGGGCACAATTCTCTGCTTTATTTTCTGAATGATAACATCAGAGTGAATAGGTGTTCATTTTAAGCAGCACTTCCTTTCTTGTTAAATCTTGAGGTTTGTGCAACAGAACCCTTGTTTTCTCCACAGTATAGAATGAAAATAATCTTGTTTTGCCTTTTCAGAGAATTACTTCAGTTTGTAAAGGAAAATGATGACATTGCCCAAGAAATAGCAAAGAGGTGAGCTTTTCGAGGTGCAGGACTGGATTGAACATTTGACATTTGTATTGTTTTATAACTACGTGACACAATGGCCTGAAGAAGGCCAAAGTAGGTCCGTTTTATAACAGAATGGCTCATGCCGCAAAAGCACTCAAGTAAACTAAGTGCAGTTTATTTACAGTGCCCCCAGTCCCCCACACCAGAAAACAAAACCCCAAAAAGAAACAAAACTAATTCTTCAAATAAAGATAAATCCTCCTTATTGCTTTATCTCTGTTTTCAGTCACACTACCTGACATACCAACCACCAACAACCAACTCCCTCTTTGGCTGAGGAGCCAGATTAAATAGCTTGTAAGCCCCTCCATTGGAGAAATGGAACAAACCATTTCTCCAATTCAATGCATGTGGTTTTTCCCATCTCCTTAAATAACCCTTGAGAACTGGGGTTAGGTTTGGCCTTCTGAGGCCACCATAGGCTGACCCAAACAAACAGTGAAGTGCAGACACCAAACAAACAGTGAGTATCATCCATTTTGAGAGCACTCTCCATTCACACCACAATACTCACTCATACCTGTGTTTAAGTATGTGAATGTATATGAAATTATTAGTAGTATTTCCCATGCTACCTGTACCTCGTGACAGGCTCCTCAGTCACAAACCAATTTACATTGCTTTATGGTGACATATTGAGTATCAGGACCCATGAGGAAGTAATGCTGCATGGTTAGTTGTGTTTGACCAGTTCCAAGACTGACAGCATCATGACTCGAGTTAGTAACGTCTGCTGTGTTATTTCAGGTGTAACCAGGGTGCTGGGCGTAGCAGCAGGGCTCTTTAAGGCTTGCAATCTATATGCAATAGAGAGGGTTTACACCCTGGTGCAGGCTGTTTATAGCTTTGTTTTATTTTACAAAGTTTTTTTTATTTTATTAAGAGTATTTTTAGATTTTGTAGAGTAGCAGACAGAAATATGAAGTGAGAAATCGAGGTAAATGAATTGCAGTAGAAAAGAATAAAAATGAGAGAAGTAAAAGCTGAAAAAATATATTTCTAACTTTCTGTTCTCACTCACAGAGGGCAGCTGTTTGTCTTGGATAACCTGCGCATGGAGGATGTGACTTGTTACTGGGAGAAGCTTCTCACAGAATATGCTGATCTCCTTAAGTATCAGCCAGAGAGGAACAGCAGCTACAAACTTGTCGCCCACAAGCCCGACAAAACCGAGCTTTGAACCACAAGAGCTCTGTTCTGACATTATCGTTTCCACCACTGCAGCCGACAGTAAGGGGGTCACTTCGGCGAACGTTTTTCAAAACAAAACAAATTCTTTCAAAAAAAGAACCTCCAGTCAAATCATCGAGATTGAATCTCCTCCTTTCAAAGAGCCCTGCCGAATTAAGATTAGCAGCCTCCACAATGTTAAAACTACAACAAAGCACTTATGTGGTGACTTGGACTTGTGCATCTTGCAGGCTCTTGATGTGCAAGTACAGAGAAGGAATTGGACACTGCTTGTGTGGGTAGTGCTTAGCCTTTACTGCTTTCATTTAGCAGCAATAAAACCTTTTTAAAAAGCTTTTGAAAGAAAATGGTGAAACTTCCACAAATTTAAACATTTGGGAAAAAGTGTATCCTGTTCTGTAAACAACGTTAAGGAGATAATGGCTGTAGGAGGCCTATCTGAGAGGTGTTCTGTGGAACTGAAGATGATATGTAGAAGATAAATATCAGCAGAAAAGGAGCCCGGGGAAAAAAAAGCCTTTGGAAAGCCTTTGTGTCCTTTTCCAAAAAGCATGTGCAGTGTACTATGAGCTTCCAAGGGTCCTGATGATTTCATAGCAGTTTTTGTTTTTTAAATGTGTTTTTAATGCCTGCCGTCATTCAATCAAGAATGTGTTAATTCTTTACGTGAGTACATGAAGCCCAACTGAGACCACCAAACTCTTTCTCCTGCTATGTAAGATGAGCTTGAATCTGAATTCATAATTGAATTCAAAGTCACTGATCTTATATGCTGGTTAGCCAGCTATACAAAAATATGTTCTGCTCCTGTCCCTGCTAGGTGGGATTGCAAATTTAGCCGTGAATGTCACTTTAATCTCAAAGTTTCTTTTATTCCATTTTTACATTTTGTTTTTGGTCTGAGCCGATTGCTCTATATGAGGGTAGGGCGTCTCCCATAAGCTCCTGTGAAGAGTTTTTGATCAAATGCAGAGCAGCTCAGCCAGAACCACATACTACGAGAACAATTTCAGGCCCTGAGAACACTGGCAAAAGTTAGTACATTCCAAATCTGAGAAGGGTATAACAGAACCACTAGTGTGGAAATTGTGATTCCTGGAGATTTGTTATGATAAACTTTACCAAGATTGTGTAAAACCATGTTGTAATCAAATAGACTACCAGAGATAAATACAGTACAACAGCCCTGACTTAACCCCTCTTGTGCTGGTATTATTATACCAGTTCTTCTGCCAGACAGACGTTTACTCTTTTGACTTTGCATTAAATGTTGTAAAAGAAATTAAGAACATTAACCACTAGTTGAAAGAAGATTACATTGATTATTTTTTAATATTTTTTTTTAATTATTATTTTTATTTAACTGAAGATTAAAGTGGTGTTTTAGTCTGGTGACATAGCTAAGAGACAAGATATTGTTACATACAGTAAGATACTTAGGTTGATTAATAAAATGATACATCTCAGTATTCATGTTTTATGAGTATTTTCATATTTATGTTTTAAGTACTTTAAGTGCATATATTTCCCATCTGTTTCTATGGGGTTTCCAGTTTTCTAGGGAGTAATTTTTTAAATATTTTAGTTTTTATGTGTTTTCCATCTAGCCATCTATCCCGGCAACCAACTGGCCCAAGGCAGGGTACCCCTTGGATGGGACGTTTGTCTATCATAGAGCAGACACACAGACACAAACGCACACTCATACCTAGGGCCAATTTTCCTACAAAGACAATTAACCTACCAGTTTGTTGTAGGACTGTAGGAGGAAACCAGAGTACCCAGGGGAAATCCAGGCAAACATGGGGAAAACATACAAACTCCATGCAGTTGGCAGGTCCCTTTCACTGTCCATTCTGAATAAATATGCAAGGTTATCTTTGTCAGTATATTCTGTCATTTAATGTTATGTATTCTAGCAGACTGTTTGCCATTTTAATTCCTTTCTCACATTGTGTAGAAGATGTAAATAATGTCTCAGAAGACACCTGTATGCAACTTTTTCATAGGTTACCTCTTCTTTCGCAGTGTTTCCAATTTTGTATTAAAAACTTATTTTTCTTTACTGGATGTAAAATCCCATACTTGTCTTCATTAAGCATTATTTTCCAGTTGTGTTCCCAATCTTTAAATTTTATTTAAACCTTTTGGAATTTAATTTGCAGGTTTTACAGTGTTTGCCAAACCTCCTTAAGTGGTATCATCTACAAATAATTGATCATTGATATAAATTAAGAAGCGTAGTGGTCCTAGTACAGATTCCTGTGGTACTCCATTACGTCACCCCATGTTGTGTTTTCACACTAATGTATATCCTCTGTTTTTATTTAATAACGAATTTTCAATCCAAACACTAGTGTGTCTCCAAGTGTCATTGCATCAACTGAGCACTTGCAATTTAAGAGTTAATTTTTAATGAGGAACTTAAAAAAAAAAACTTCTGGAAATCTAAGTACACTGCATCATATACTCAGTTGGAGCTAAATTTGCAGTGCTTCAAATTTATTTATCATTCTTTACTGATTTCATATCTATCCCATTACATTTTACTTCTCATAAATTTGGTCTCATTCCTTCTAAGTCACCTTTCTAGATATTATAAATTTATAGTCTCAAAATATACCTCAAAGCACAATGATCACAGTTCCCTCATGGTTCTCTCATTTCTTTTGCACATAAATTCTTCAATTCGTTATGTGGTGTGGCCTGAGCCTAACCTGTGTATCATGCAGCAGAAATGTGTTAATGTGTCATACATGACTTTAATTGCTTTGAAAATGAATTATAGCACAGCTTTGCAAAAGCTGCAAGGTGCTGGTTTTGAGAAATCAGGGCCCAGATTTCTAACCAGGCTCTGGTTAATATTAGCATCCGAAATCATCCGGCACCAGCTCGCCTGCTGAGCGAGTGTCTGAAGAGATGTATGTTGCACTGTGGATGAGTATCCTAGACCTGGGAGATGAGGTTTAATTTGACAGGCTCATCTGAAAGGTGTTTAATCACCATTGCTGCCATAGTCCAGCATCACACGTCATCCTGATCACAGGACTGCCTACCTGTTAGCAATTTTTACAGCCCTGTTATCCTGTAGACATGAGGTTGGCGAAGCGATCTTCCAACCTTACATACTGTACTAAACTCCCTGCATCTCCTCCTTCTCATTCTGCAGGTGTCAGTCTTGGCATTATCGTATGAATAGACGCATTAAAAGAGCAATGAATGCTACTGGTGCTAATGCTCATTTATTGCATTTTAATGCCTCTGGGTATAAATTTGTGTATTGCTGCACATGGTACAACATCAGTTCCTGACACTGGCACACATAGATCAGCTCAGCAATCAATATAGTAGCAGAATGTAGTAACTGCTTTTTTATACCAATGGGTTACCTGTTTAACATTAACTGTTATTGTTAAAGTTTAACAAAGAGGAGACAATGAAACTCAGGAAATGTCACTTAGGTCCTTCATGAAGGTCTTCCTTTCCCAATTTAGTTTGGTACCTGTTACAAAGCACAACTGACATTTGACCTCAAATGCCATACTTATGTCTTCATTCACAAAAACATATGAAATGTTACAAACGAAAGGAGGTCATTTGGTCAGTCTTGCTAGTTTGGTTGGTGGTAGCTTAATGTCCTAAGAATTCCATTTATCACTGTCTGGAAGGATCCCATAAAGATAATATACTGGCTAAGTTAGTTCCAGGCTCCCATGATCCTTTTGTTTAAAGAAAGGACCCCTGGGGCATATAGCAACTCTGAGTTGACCTACTGTAGCTACTGCCTTTTGGGATTTGGAATACAGCATAATCTTTTCTGTTCCAGGCAAAAAGTCTGACTCCCTTAATTTGTCTGCGCATGAGACTGCCTTCAGTAAAAAGTTAGTTTGGTTGCTCTCTTTTTTACTGCTCTAGAACAGCAATGTCTTGATGAGTGGTGACCGGAGTATACACTGTACTCCAAGTGAAGTCTAATGCATTGTATAATTTAACCTGACACCCCATCGATTCAAATAATACATTCTTCCTATATCAAAGTTTTGTTGGCCATTTTATCGTTTCTCCAAAGTGCCTAGCTGAAGAAAAAAAAAGTTAACCTAAACGATCTTGCTCGGGATTTCTTCTTCCAGTTCGGTGCCACCTGTCAGAAACTTGAATTTTGTGTTTATAGTCATGCATGTATTAACATACTTTTATCCATTCAGCAGCAGAAAATGAATGACAAACTTTTATTTCATGTCTGTTTTATCCTCATTCTCTTTTCAAGGCGTTATTTTGACTTTCCACGATTTTCATCGATTTACCTCAAACCAGGTCACTCGCTCTCGCGTCTTAAGCTCATTTTATATCCCTGTAGTTTCGTCCTCCAACAATAGGTGGCGATCTAATTATTTTCTGCTTCATATCGCGGAAACTTTATCTTTAATTTTGACAACAAGCTTTGACATTGTGGGTTTCCCCGAGAAGCTGTTCTGGATAAGGTATAAATGTGCTTGAGAACGTTATGTCTGAATACATTCGTTAAAGTGTATCTGATTAAAGTTTAAAATCAATTTCCTTAATATCAGCGAATATGAGCCGTAGATGTGATGCGACTTAAGTGGTGTATAATATTTTTGTCGCTGTATAAATGTTATTTCAGGTACACAGATAAGTAGGTCGCTCTTTTCACACACATGCTTTAGCTTTCTAAAGTCCATTGTATTTGCTTCCGATTATTTTAAAGATAATTAAGCTCTTGCACCGGTAGCATCGCCTGTTCTTAAATTCCTTTCTGAAATGTATGCTAGTGGAACAGCTAATATCAGTATTATTAATTTTATACGTTCATAAATACTATTTCTATGGTGAAAATGAAAATTTATGCAACCTGTACATTGAGCTATAGTAGCATTTTTGTCATAATTGTAAAAATGTATTACTAGTATAACCTTGAATTTTAAGTGGCCTGACCTTGACTTCCAAGTGTGTGTGCGTCTATATTATTAATTTGATTGAATACAGAAATACGTCTTACATTCTGCAGTATATTGAATTGAAATTTGATTACAGCCATTGCTTGAATTTTAGCCTATCTGTGGTGTACAGGTGATGCAAATTGAAGGTGTCTCATACAGTTGTGTTAGAAATATAAACAGACTAACGCAAAACAAACTTTTAGATGATGGGACATTTTCTCAACTTTGAAGCACGATATTTCTCAGATAAGGTATTGCAGTGTTGTATGTTAATATTTTACAGTTTTGTTTTTTGATTGCTTTACTGCATATTGATAAGGTAACAAAATGAACTTGAATACATGTTACATTTGCTGGTGGGGAAAAATGATAGTAACAAAAATTAATGATGCACAGGTGCATTTCAGTAATATACAAGTACATTATTAACCGGTTTCTGTCTCAGCTGCTGATAAATACATTACAAATGATAAACTTTCTGGAAGAAATACATTTGTTTTACTTATTTTTAAATCCCGGAAGGGTAAGAATTAAAGTTTAAAAACATTCCAGAAGTATTTTGCTTTACAACACCAGAAGTCCAATTTCTAAAATATTTGGTGTATTTCAATATTTGTTTGTAGCCTTTCATAACAAATTAGAGTTACACACATTAGTTATATTGCGCTACAGAGTTTCATCTGTAGTGAAAACACAGATTTTAAGTTTGGGAGAGAGAAAAGGGTTCTGAGAAATAAGGCTGAGAAAGCGATGATCTTATGTTTTAGTTCAGAAGAATGTTGTTTTAGAACAGTATAAATATTAAACGAGCAATAACAATAAGCCAGTGACAGGGTTGGAATGTCCTCGGACCATGTCACAGAACAACTTCCAGGTGAGTGGGATAAGGCCTAACTCTTGGAGAGGTGAGTGTCTCCCAGGCAGGAGCTGTCCTGAAGTGGGTCAATACTGTATGTACAGTAAAACTCTTTGGGATGAAAAGCACGATGTCAGTTCCCGTTCAAGTTGTGAGGTGGCTTTGTGGCGTTTGTGACTCATGGTTTTGTTTGTGAACACCTGCCTCTCGGTGTAAAGAGATTGTGAACCAGCCAGCCCGTCCAACTAGTCCTGATATTTTTAATAAGAATCAAATGCAAATCACTGCACTCATGCGCAGGTGATTGAAATACCAGACCCACACCATTCTCAGCGGGAAAAATAAAGACGCTTAAGGGTATCCTCCTATCCGTCTGTGCTGGGTAACATTACTGCAGGAGCTTATTAAGAAACGTATTTGTCGTGAAGGGCTGTCTCATACCTTCACCTGACCTCCCAAGAGAGGAGGTCTTTCACACCTGTGGATACTGTACTGTGCACACATTTATTCATGTGTAGGTTACTCACCTGTGCATCTTGTCCATGCCATCCTGGAACTCACTGGGAGACGGGGACAGTATTGTTAGCATGACGCTGGAGCGGGGAGCTGAGTCAGCTGGCTTGGGCTGCAAAGGAACCAGGAAAGGTCAATTTAATACTGTGAAGTTGAAAGTAGAAACCGGTTGTCTGTCCAGCCTTCTTTTTTCTACTTTGCACAGTGGATGTAACCTTTACTTGTTCCTAAGCATTATTACCTTATTCATAATTCTTATATTGACATTATTGTTATTTTGAATTGTTTCTTGTTGTCTTTTCATATACATGCTTCCTAAGTTTATGTATTAATGGTTGTTGTGGATCCACAATCAGTCCGTATTGTTGTGTTTGTTGTTGTCCTGTCCATTGCACTGTTCCATGTTGGGTTACGGACCCCCAACCCACCTCTGGTTTTAAATAGGTTTTCAGCTATCCATCAGGGGGAGGTACTTAACCGGGCACGCACAGATTCACAGTCAGTGATAGTTTAGTTCTAGTCAAAAGTGTGACTTCAACCTTAAGCAAGCACACCTTGTCTTTGTGCTGTTCCCCAGCTCAGTTTTTCATAAAGCCTGTTAGCAGTGCTAATAGTTTGGCTATTACCTACGTTTCTCCTGTTTTTCTCACTTTTGTAAATATTTTTCTGCAGTGGAACACATTTGTGCACTATGACTGTGGATGCCCCTGTCCTGCAAGGGGGTAGGTTGGTCACATTTACAGGTATTATTCATTCACCTTAATGGGTCCCATATAAAGCGGTTCTTAAGAGATCTTTTATTTGTCCTATTACACGAGCTTCTTAATAAATCCTTAGACGTTTCATATGTACATTTGTATACACATACCTTAATCCTTAATACACAAACATCAACTAGGCATCCTTAATCCACAAATGCTGCAGTGAGTGATGATGCCCTCCTTCAGGAGTTTATGTTCAGGATTTTAAAGAGCCATGTGGTACTTCAATAAAACTGACTGGAAGATAATCCTCCTAAGTGCTTCCCTTCAGATGCACCCCTCAAACAATCCAGCGTTCTACTTAATGGGTCCCATATAATTATTTACATAATTAGATCATTTAAACCTCATCAGAAATGTTAACAGAACTTCTAATTAGGTTTGGCCAAATCAGCATGGGGTGCATTTTTATTCCAGCCATCAGCATAGCTAGGCCACCCAACAAGGAGACCATTGACAGAAAGGCTTGTTAACATCTGTGACACATTAGGATGGACTGTATCCTATGGTTAGAGAGTGTGAGGAGCACAGACGTGCTGTAGGTTAAATAAATCTTTTGCTTACACTGACAAAAACTCAAACAGCAGCTTTAATGAAATATATAAGATGTACAAGCAAAAGCTACGTTTAGCCTTGTTGTGAAACAGGAATGATTCCATGTTGGTAAGATGGAACAAAAAAAAGTTTTTTCTTGGTTCTCCAGCTCAAATGGGAGTGATATTATAAAAGGCTATTTACTTCGAGTCTTATTCCATCAGCCGTCTGGTTGTGCTCAGTTTGTGCTTTTTTTCCCTAAACCCACCACCATCCCCCCCAACTTTGGACTTTTTTTCTCACTGTCTTTTTTTTTCTGATTAGACAAAAACAAATTCTTACATTCACTAAAACGAATTAAAACACGAGAGAAAAGATTAATTCAATAACTTCCTACTGATATTCTTAACATCCATGCCATTCAAGTTTGTCTCTAATGGGCCTCAAACATTCCTATACTCAATAAGTTTCCCCTGTACTGTAAATTATATGAAATCTTTTCAAATTTAACTTGTGATACAGCCACTTTAATCCATTCTTTGTATGACGGTCCTTTACTGTCCACCCATTTTCGCAGTATTATTTTTTAGCAGTAATACAGAGTCAAGAAAGTATTTTTATACTGAATTGCTGCTTTAACCTTTGATAAATCACCAAGGATACATGTAATGGGAGTAAGTGGAATTGAGATATTTAGGTACCTGAGAGCTTTCCCCACTGTGGAGGTTCGAGCTTGAACATTCATTAAATTTTCAAGCTGCATGACATCCCTGAAATTTTCAGCCTTAAAAAAAACATCAGAAATGTAGGCTGACAACAGTTTGACATAGGCCCAGGGGCTCTGCTTGCCTTGAACACAGAACTTGGTGAAAGCCTGGGCTGCCCAGTGGAACATTTTTGAGCAGCAGTATTTATAATCTGCATGAGATGTCAAGTATTCATTTTAGAGTTAACGTGCAGCTTGCTATGCTGGTTGAGAGATGGCAGTGGAAGTGTTGTGGGAGTTATCTGCAGCTGTATGTTTCCAAAAGGCATAAAAAAAGAAGCTCTTTCATTGTGGCTCCTAACTGTGTTACAGGCAGACTGGGGCTGCTGCGGTGCGATGGATCGCCAAGGGCCCCCAGCGAGCATGTCCGCATGTCCTCGACTTGACAAGCCTCCGCGGGGCTCCTCCTACTCCACACTCTTCTGGGGTCTCGTCCCCTTCCCAAGAGTCTTGGCAGCTGATGGCGTAGGTTCAGGCGCTCCTGCAGAAAATGCCGTGCAGCTACCACGATACATCAGCAAACCAGAGCTACCGGACACTGGCTGGGACCGAATAAAAGAACTCTTTGACAGGAGGTGAGTATAGTGTAATAATAATAATAAACTTTATTTTATATAGCGCCTTTAAAGGTGGCTTCTCAAAGCGCTTTACAGGATGACAATAACAATAAATACGAGAATACAACAATAAATAAGAAGAATACACAAGATAAAACACAATTACAATATATAGAGGAGACCATGGATGGTGGTACTAAGAAGAGCTGAGGGGTGAAGAATGGAACCAGTTAAGTAAAGGCTTTTCTGGAGAAGAGGGTTTTGAGTCAGGATTTGAAGGAGTTCAGAGAAGGTCACTCTCTGATATCATTGGGCAGGGAGTTCCAGAGCTTGGGGGCATAGCAGGAGAAGGCCCTGTCACCCATACAATGTAGACGGGCTTGGGGGACAGTAAGGAGGGCAGAATTTGAAGAGCGGAGGTTGCGAGGTGGGGAGTAGGGCGATAGGCTCCAGGGCTCTCGCTTGCTGTCTCGAAATTGTGCAGTGATTTTTTTAACAGTCCACAGCACTGTCTAAGACACTGAGTTCAGTGACCACAAAGACGTGGAGCGACTAGATTGAATGGGTAACAGTTTTATGGTGAACGCTATAAGCTGGGTACCAGTGAAGTAATAAAAATAATAAAAACAGCAGAATCTAGTATGATTCTGACAGTATTCCGTACTCGGTCATGGTGTTTGTTGCTGAGGATCAGAACCATAAACCTCTGAGGAAATGAGTAAAAATTTCCTTGGATGTAAACGCTTGCATAAGTCTCTCTTGTGCTGCACAGTTGCTTTTGACTCTACCACTGAAGAGAATTCGTAGTAAATAAAACATCTGTTTTGTAAAGTAATAGTTTCATTAAAATATAACTTGAATATAAAATTCAATTAGATTTAATCTTAAGTCATATTGTTTGTAAATTCAATTAATCATAATTTGTTTCATTATGCAGTAGTTACTGCCTGGCCCATTATAGATTAAGTTACCAAAGCCGTTACAAGTCTTTAAAACGCCACTACAAGGACCACTTGTGAAATACGTTAATTCCTGTGCAGTACCTGTGTAATGTACAGTACTGTACTTTATTAAAACATACCGAAAACTGAATATCTGCATAGCTGGGATGAGCAACTGAAATTGGTCTTTTCTGAATGAACCCATTCATTCTCTGATCACCATTGTTAACTCCAGAAGGTCCTTTAAAGGGAACTGCAACACTATTTTTATATTTCGGGGTTAGAAAGAATCAGCATTGATCAGTGCAATTCAAACCACAATAAAAGTCAAATGTACACAGTTAAATTTACATCACAAAATAGACAACATTTCCAGGTATGTGCAACACCATATTCTGAGATTCGGAATGAGGCAACAAAACGTCTGGTGATGTGATATTAATTCGTAAGCAGACATGTTTATAAAGGAAAGGAGAAGTATATTCTGTACTAAGGTTTTGATATTTAACTCGTTTCCAGGAGTACAGATCTCCCTGCTTATTTGTGTATTTTGTGATTTCTTCTATGCATTGGTTTTGGTGTTTATAACAAGTAGTGCCTGCTGTGACCTCTGGTTCCAGCATTAGAAATAGAACTGCTCTGGTTCCTCAGAGCTCAGCACCGGTGTTGAGCACAGCAGTATCTCGGAGAGCCCCTGTCCAATGCAGTGCACCTGTTTTGCAGCGAGATGCAGGCCTACCCTGAGGAGATTCTCAATATCGTGAAGAGTGGGTTAACGGCAGCAGTGGTGGGGATGGTTTATGGAGGGATCCCAGCCGCCAGACAGGCTAGAGAGCACTTCATCCAGCAGAGCCAGGCGGAGGTCTATCGCCACCAAGTGGAGGCTGTGGTAAGGTTTCTGACTGGAACTCAGGCTAAAGGATCTGGACTCACTTGAAGCAAAACGTGAAGTACAGTAACTTACACATCAGACTCCCCAGGCCATTAATATGACTTCTGCACAATTTCATAAACAGGCTCGCTTCCCTTACCAGTGTTTACTGTGTTGTATGCTCTGGTTTGAGCACTACTACCCTTCAGTAGTAAGGACACAATACCGTAAGTGTATTTAGTGTTAAAGGAAGTGATGCACTTCCTTTGCTATGTAATTGCAGTGGCACTTGACATTTCATGAGGGACAAGAATAAAAAGAGAAGGAAAGAAATACATTTTTCCATCACAACTTTCTGCGGTACACCCCCGTCATTGCTGATTGTTTTCTTTTTTGAGGACATTTGCCTGCAAGGGTTTTTAACTGGAACCCAGAACCTTTGTGAGGCAGGTGAAGTTGGTGTTCTGTGTGGTATCTTTCAGCTAAGTTAGACTCTGGCTCACTCTGCCACCCTGTGGCAAAAATAAGTGAAGTGATTCACAAATAAGTGGGAGGCATTTAGTTTTTACCAGGTGCTCCAGTTTCCTACTACTTTCCAAAAACATGCTGGTAACTTTAATTTGTGTCTCTCAATTGTCCCTGAATTTCTGTGTGCATTCCACAAGCCTTAACATGAATAAGCACTAACTTTCTAAAAATGGTTGGAATTAAGTTTTTGTTTCTAGCTGACTCCAAATCCTTTAAGATTTCTTCTTTGTGGAAGTTCTTACAGGTAATTTGTGACTATGTCATGTTTAGGGTGCGAGTTACTTACAGCACACATCCCGTCTAAAATTGTGTATTTATGGCAACCAGTATATTCTCGCTTTGTTGTTTTATGATCTCCACACGTGTTATCTGTTTAGGTTAGATACAGACTGGAAGTTCTGGGCCTGAGCTGAGGCTGTCATTCACTTGTAATGAACTAAAGAGCAATCTGTGGCTGATGTGTTCTTGTTCCTGTTTCCTTGGAAGAGGTCAGCCCATAACGCGGCGATCCGCGGATTTATCAGGTTTGGCTGGCGCTGGAGCTGGAGGGTTGCGGCCTTTGTCACATTGTTCAGGTGCGTACGCCGTGAGTCATAAGGGAGAGGATAACTCCATTCCGCGGGGGTGAAAGATGCATGGGCTGTGCAGCAGTAAGCTTTAATCTTTTCCCCTTTGTTACGTTATTTTGTTTTGAAAGTCATTGTGCAGAAGAAACTCCTAGGATCTTAGGACCTTTATCATTTTCTCTAATTTTCCTTTACCATCACCTTTTATTCCAGGAATCACAATGCTACATTTTTACCTCCCCAGGTCAGAACATGATGTTTGAATTGCACCGTGGTTTCATGAGTTTGCTTTAATATGTCTGATGATTTGCATGCCTTAGAAACACACACATGGGCACAAAGCACCTGCAGAGCACCTGCCTGCAGAAGGAGGCAAAAGACCTGTTCATAGAGAGAGAACTTTAACCCAGTGAAGTTACACCATATAATGTCTGAAGATTTGTAATACACAGGAGCGCCCGTAAGGTTAAAATGCAAAAATGTTAAAAATGAAATCCCTTTAGAAAAAAACAAGCTGCTGGTTGAGAGCCAAGTGTCTGTAACGTGCATGTCCTGTCGGGCGTTACAGAGAGTGGGAAATGACAGCACTGTAAGACTCAGCAGGTCTCACAAGCACGGCTTTGTAGCACGAAAAGCTTTATGATTTTTTTTTCCTTTAGCTATTTAAAGAGATACAGACGTCTACACTGTCAGTTCCTCCTTTTTAGGGACTCTTTGTTACAGAAATGTCAGACATCTTGTCATCCAGATGAATGATGGCATTTAATGTTACAACATCATTAAATCAGCTCCTCTGTTTTCATTGTATTTACCACATTCCCCGATCATTTGTAATGTGGAGCAAAGGGTGATGTGTGTTTTTACTGTACATCCTAGCCTGACCAAAAGTCAGACTGCATGATGCCATTTTAATGATTATAATTATTTTATTTCTTTGAAATAATGTTTATAGTTTAATTAAAATAGAAGATTTGGATTGTATTTTTGTTCCTGATACATGTATAAACCTGCAGAGTTAAACCTCTTCTCTTTCTTGTTATTTCAGCACGGTGAGCACTGGTTTGTCTGTTTACAGAGATAAAAACAGCCTGAGTCATTATTCTGCTGCAGGAGGTGGGTAGAAATAAAGTACAGTATGACAGTAGATAATTTTATTCTGTCGTCCTCAAATTGATTTTTTTTAAAGATCATTTTTCTCTCTTTAGCAATTACAGGGGGCTTGTTTAGGCTGAACATGGGTTTGAGTGGCATGCTGGCATGCAGTGCCATTGGGGCAGTCCTTGGGTGAGTAGTCACACTGGCTAATGAGTAGGACAGACAGTGTTTGTCTGATGTTCCACTGGTTCCCACTGAACAGCAAATGATTTTTAGGCTCAGCTAGACACAGATTTATGTTTCCGGATTTTTTTTAACGGATGGACTCAATCAAGGCAAGAATTAAGGATCTCTTTAATTCGCACAGACTTTTCTCCACTCATTTTTGAGATAGTGTACTTTTGCTAGAGATGCTAATAGAGATTTTCAAAATATCAGTCATCGACATGTTTAACTAATTTCGATCCAGTGTACAGTAAGTGACACTGCCATGTTCAAACCAGTACAAACGTTAACAGGAGAAGCACTTTTCTTATGGCCATTAAACAGTTTGTACAGTATATTTGGTGTGAAGTTCTGATGAATGCCATTCAACACGTTGTTTCCTTCCATCTCTTGCTCACTAAATTATTAATACTGTTTTGTCTCTTGCATGTGTAAATCACTTATTCTGTGAAGTCCCTACATTTATGCCTTGGGTTAAGTAACCACTTAGTCTTAAGTGATCATTTTGGAACTGTAATCATTGTGATGAGAATACCGATACTGTGTCTGTTAATGTAGAGATTGAGTCCATTGTACTGTAAGAAGTTGTATGAATATGTTCCACATTTGATTTTTAGCTGCAGTGTTATCTCTGGTTTTAAATGTAGTTTATTATTGTGGATGATCCATACAGAGTTTGCATGTATTTTGGCTGAACAAAGTGGATTTTTAAGTTTTTTTGGAAGGTAATTGTCCTAACAACACTACATAAACAAAACAGCCTATTAACAGAAGTAACAAAATCCTCCCATTATATCATTTTCATCTGCTGGAACCCTGGTGGTTGTTGTTCACGTGTGCTAAGGGAGGCAGAAAGGCTCAGCAGGGGTCCTGGAAACTGCGCGCCGTCTCCTGGGATTCGTGGCTGAGGGCTCTGGGCCGGCCCGGCCCACTGCAGCTCTGTCCCTGATGGCATGCAGCTGCCCACAGCCTCTTCTCCCCCAGCCTGGAGGAGCTGTGTGCACTGTGGCAGCCAGCTGCTCGCCCCACACCTCCTGGCTCACAGCTGCACCTCTGGCCCCGCAGTGCTCACTCAGCGTTCTGTGCCCCCCAGACACCAAATTAAGCCACACCACACACCCTCGTCTTCCGGGCAGTCCCCAGAAACGAGCCCATCTGTGGGGCAGGAGGCTACATTCTGCTGGGGGAGCAGCTGCTGCCCTGACAGAGCTGCACAGGAGTCGGGAGAGTTTTTTTCCCCCTCCCCCCCAGACTGTGTTTTGTCTTCTCCAGCCACAGTGAGGGAGATATAGAGTTTGCTCTTGATGCAGTCCTGTGCTGTGTTTTCAACTCAGCTCTGAGTCAATCTGTAAGAACAGGAGACAGAAAACTCTTCCCTTTCCTTCACTGATGCAGCTTAGAACTAAACAACAACAAAAGTACATTCAAATCTCCCTTTTGTTTCTGACATACACTCAATAATGCGATTGATTTTTAATTCAATCCAATTAATGGAAACCGACCTAAATACACTTTTGTGAACAAAATTCTTAAATTTAGTCACAGGTGTTCAATAAGTGGGAATATACAGTTAAAGGCTTAGGCTCTTGGCAGAATATGCTTTCTAGGCTGTGGCAGTTAAAGGAAGATATCCGTCTCAGTCCGACATCTCATTTTCTTACTGATTCAGTGGCCCTGAAAAAGAACAGAATTCGGTCAGAAATGAAAATAACATTCTCTGTTGCCATCAGTTTGTCTTCCTGAATACCACTTAATAGGCGAAAAGACCTTGAAGAGAACCTGAACCCTGTAAAGATGTGTCCTTCCAAGTAATTGTATCAAAGTGCTGAATGGCTGGAACCTTAAATGTGTAAGCAGAAGCAACAGTTGTAAAGGCTGCACTATTAAAGTGGATCTGCAATCCTAAATTCTCTTACCGGAATTAAATCTTGGTAAAACAAAATTAATGATATCACAAAAGTTTACAAATTAAGAATTAAGCACAAAATCGTGAACTTAGTGAAAGTACTATAAGTTGCCATGTTGTCCCTAGCTACTAGTTATTCAACACACATTTCACCACAGAAATGTTCCAATGTGAGTTAATGCAGAGTTAACAAGTAAGTAGTACTTATGGCAGTAAGTCGAAAGCAATATTTCTGTTAGATTAAAAGAGATGTATTCACAAGCCTGCTTGTTTACAATGTAATAGGGCTGACTCACATCACCAGTTTTGGTGCCTCATTCTGAATATGGCACTGAGCATACCTGGAAATGTAATTTGTTTTGCGATGTCAATTAGAGGTTTTACACATCACTGTGTACTTTTGACTTTTATTGTGGTTTTGAAATATATTAAACAGCGTTCGTTCTTTTCTAACCCCGAAATATAAAAATAGCATTGCAGTTCCTCTTTAAATACAATAGGACTTTAATAAAAGAACAGGAAAGGTTTCCAGCAAATGAATTTGAAGAAAACCCTTTTAGCCCCCAAGCACTTCCTGCTCCTTGTTGTAAGAAGCGTCTTCTTCTCCAGGGTCCCGGCAGGGGCGCTCATGATGGCCGTGCAGAGGCTGACTGGCGAGACTCACCGGGAGCGCAAGAGGAGGGAACGCAGGGAGCTGTACGAGCTCAAGCTGGCTGAGTGGTAGGGAAATGAAACCATTAAAACATTGCAAATGGAGGTTCAAATACACGCTGGTGACATATCTGGTTTTGCGATGCTCTCATCTTAGCTTAGGGTTGCACCGCAAGATCACAAAATAAATCACTTGAATGTGGTACATATTATGGTACAGCGAGTGCAAAAAGGCAGTTTTCTTATGCATCATAAATAAAAATTATAATGAGATAGGTGTCATGGATCTCAATTATATTTGCGAAATGTGTTTTAGTTATTCCTAAGTGAAATTTTAAATAACATGGTAAGCAGGTTTGTGCCCAATCTTACATCGAGACATGAAAAAGGTTTCTTATAAGGAAGTTTTTCGTTTGGCTCCAGAGACATTTAAAATTTTTCAGCAACGCAGTTTTCCAGGTGTTGCACAGCGATGCAGAACAGCATGTGAATTTGAAAGTGCCTCATAGAACGGCCCCTCTCGCTCTCTACTTTAAGGATTTTTGATCAAATTAATTTTACCCCTTAAGAAAGATTTTTCCAGCTTCCACAGACATTAACCCTTATATTATTTTCTAAGTTGCCCATGATTAAAGCATCTGTTAAGCATATATAGTAATAACTAATAATTTTCGACTGGTGTATGGGCAAGCTGACCACTGTAGTTTATTGTAAGTTTGTTATTTACAGGAACCAGCTCAGGTGAGATAGATAAAAACTTAATCTTAATCTTGCTGACATACAGTGTTGATCACTGCTGATTCTAATGAGCATGTCTGTCAGGCTGTCCGAGAAAAGAGAAGTTGTCATATAATGGTATATATATATATAAAGGTTCAGGTGGGTAGCTGCGTCAGCATGCGTAGGCTGCAAAGGAACACCTGAAGAAGGCTCCACGGCCGAAACGTTGTGTTCTCTTTCTTCTTTTTTTCAGCATGGAATAAACCTATATATATAAAGGACCTATGTAATTCTTGTTCAAAGAAAAAATTCCTCAACACAGTAAAGGAATTGCAAAAATAAGAAGACTTCACTTTAAGATGTTTTTCTTGAAAGTGTCAAACCTGAAACACTCTTGTTTCTTCCTGCATGATTTTGAAGAGCTGTCACACATAAATGCTTCAAAGCTGAATCTTTCAGACACCTGAACTAATGAAGATAACAGGATTCACATGCAGCCCTGAGAAGTCTTGTCAGTTCTATTTCCCTGTATTTCTCTCTCTTCCAGGAATGCTCGGCTAAATGTGACGGAGGGACTTATTGACGAAATGAGTAAAGTGGAGGACGGTTCCATAGAGACAGACCTGGACAGAATTGAAGAGCTTCTAAACCTTCCCAGAAATGAAGAAGCCTCTGCCAGCAAGTGATTTGTATTTTCACTGGGTAACAGTCCAGTGTCCCCCTTTATTTGGTGGTGTTTAGCCACTTTTAAGGGTTACCTATTTGGCTCTTTAAGAAGACTTCTTGTCTCATGTTTTCCTCACCTCTTTTTTTGTAACCAACCTATCCTCAGAGAGTTCCCCAGGTATACGACTGAAAGGACATACTGTGGAGGAGCAAGCGTTTCACCTTCATTTTCCTCAGGACTTTGCAAGAACCTTGCTGGAGTTCTGTCAGTAGAGGGAAGGCTGTACAGGAAATGTGCCAATACAAGAAATCCTGTTTACTTGATCCATGGACAGTGGAGAGTGACCAACATTATCCATAATCAATAACAGTGTCACTGCCATTGTCTCACTGGAAGAGGGAAATGGTCAGAGCTCGGTGTGTTTGATTGACAAAAGAGCTTTACATTTTATATTCTTTGTGTAGAATGATCTTGAGAAAAGGACATCAACAAGGAGAAAATAATGGACGTTATACCTGGTGTACTTTTACACAGACCAGATATACTGTACATTTTAACAAAGTCACTCTGTAACATTGTGATTTTCTAGCTATTTTAGGCTTTGTAAATGCTAAATTGTCCCTTGTAAAGTACCCTCGCTTCAATGATGTACAAATACTGTAACAAGTGTGAACAATTACAAGAAATTTGTAAAAGAATTATCATTAGATAATGTGGATAAGTGCCATTATTTATCCTCAAGGCAGAAAAAAGACAAAACGATTGAAAACCTATGAAGAGTAAAGAATTGAAAAGTGTTTTAACATTAATGAATTGTTTTTAATTTGTTTTTTTGTATGCAGGGGAACTAAAATAGTTTTGTGTATATTGCATCAATCAAATTTGTGCGAAAACAAATCCTTGAAAGACAGCAATTAGTCATAAGTCTATCTTCCATAGACCTTTAATTTGAATACAGTCAATAGAAGACATTGCAGGACAGGCAGTGTAATAGCTGGATTCCTAATACATGGGGCAGCACTTTTTTTAATCTGACACATGCCCTGAGAAGACTGACTCTTCCATTATTTTCAGCTGAATTTGAAATGACAAGTTTGTTTTGTAAATAAGGTAGGGTGTCTGGATCTTATGGGCTGTATCTCAGTGTAGGAATACAGTAGTTCTAGGTTGTGTCTAATTTCTTCTAGGATGAATTTCATTAGTTTGGATTGGCTGTTATAGCTGTACATTTCAGTGGAATACTGTATGTTGAATTGCAGGTACAGGTTTCTGCATTTATGCCGATTTAGCAAAGGAACAATTAACAATTCAGTGGTTTGTGGGAGCACTTTGCCACACACCAGCTCTGCAAATGCCATCACAAAGAGGAAGCTAGAAGATGCAGCGATTAAGAAAAAAAGGACTTCCCAGTACCCCCAGGGAGCTTCAGACTTGTAAATAGCTTTGATTAAGCCCTTGATAGACCAGAAGCTGCACACCGCTTGCTTATGGCAAACTGCGGATTAATTTCTAGATGGGGTGGATCTTCTTTAGGTAGAAGAAAGAAGTGCTAAGTGCTGGGTTTACTATTTGCAATTAGACGATGTGTTTAAATTGCTTAATCTACTTGTGCCCTGTCCATTTGACTGAAGCCTCAAAATCTCTGTTACAGAGCTTATAATCTTAAAGAAAATTGAAACCAGAAGGGCACCAAATTTGATCAGTTCATAGACTTTGAACAAATTCCATGTGAAGGCATTTCAACTTGTGTCAATGGGAATATATTGGACTAAAAAACTTAACTGATCTGCAAATGATAAAAAATGAAGAAGCAATCTGACTGATCATTTACTATACTTCAAGTCAACATTTCCCCTGTGCGCCTCTCAGATTCTAGAAGAACATTTGGAAAGAGAGATGCAGTAAAGCATTTTTATAAAATGCCAGTAAACGCGTACGTGATCCGCAAAGGAAAGCAAATAAATGTTCCCTTGTTTAAGTGGGGGATTTTCCTGGTTTAGCTAGTCTGACCAGTGAGAAGTTTAATGAGGCCATTGTTGTCATAGAAAAGGTAAACAATAGAATTGAATTTGGTTCCAAAACTGCTAGGAAATAATGAGTCTGCTTTTCTTCCATTCTGTTGCTGGTCAGTCAGCACAGGTGACTAAAGACTTAAAGGAACAGCCCAAGAAAGTGGGAGTAAAGTTAATACATGAAATGTCACTGAGCGCTGAAGGAAATAGAGACAAGTAAGCTCGCTAGAATTACTTATTTTATTTAGTTGGTAGGATCTAACACAAAATAAATAGATCAAGAATTGACATTCTGAATATTACAGTGCAGTACAGTAACCCTGCTGCATGAAGTTACAGAATGCTGTCTTTTAGAAAGAATAATCACTGTGTTCATGGGAGAGAGAGAAAATGAATGTCTGCTTGAGTTTTCTTTTTTGTAGTACACTATTTACATGTACTGCAAATGGAATACAAAGATATGATGTCCAGTGATCCAAAACATGTTTATATTCAGTTTTCTGAGACTTGATGTTCCTCCAGGACTGGAGTTGGAAACCGCTAACATAGGATTAACAAATGGCTAATGTTTTCAGGAGCCATATTCTTTTAGAGGTGAACAGTAATAGGGGTATTTTGATTTTTTTTCAGAACGTAGATTCAGAATGTAGATTCACTGCAAGGAAGCTAAAACATTATAAACAGTTTTAGCTTAGTTTTTAGTTTAGTTTTAGTTAAGAACCAAGCACATAAGTTCTGAATATATCACAATTTATTTACATGTTTGTCAGTACAGCAGGTACAGTATTACAATAATCAAGCCTGTGAAACACAAAAGTATGTGTATTTGATGATACAAGGATATGTTGCAGTATTTTAAAGGTGTCAATTTCATCCTTGTATGTGCATGTCTTGCACATGAGCCTCAAATGCAAGACTCAAATTAAAGATGATACCAGGCTTCCTGACCTGAGTACTTGGACTGATTCCAATAGAATCACCTGTAAATTTAAGTTGTTAGAGTTGTTGAGGTGAGTCAGTCAGCATAACCTCCATTTTGTTGATCAAAAAACATTTTATTACATCTGTTTTATAACATCATCTAATCAGTGTGAAAAGGTAGAGAGTCCCATTAGGTCAGATTGCATGTTAACAAATTTGAATGTAATCAACACAGGAATGAAAACTGATACCATACCTGTGACAATTACCTGACACATACCATACCTGTAACATGTACAGACCAAATAGAATGGGACCAAGAACAGAGCCCTGTGGGACGCCAGATATGGCCAAATTGAACAAATTGTTTTCTATCGGATAAGAGTTAAACAAGGATAAGTCATTCCAGTAATATGACTACTAATTGTTAAGCAGGCCTTTGTCTATTTATGCCTTTATTAACAAGCAAGAACTGCAAAATTAACCACATACTGGATGGAGCAATTCCAGATCTTAATGAATCATTAATGGTAAGTGATATTGGATAGAGAAATACATTTTTTTAAGACAGAACGTGGAAGAACATGTAAGAAAAATAATCCTTAAAATGAAATCCACCATATTCCTGGGATGTTTTGCAGTTTTTGAAGGTGACCTGGAGTGTAATGGTTGGTTCAGCTGAACTGGTGTTGAGAAGGTCTTTGGAATTTGAAGTGGTGCTAAGAAGCTATATTCCCATAATACACATAATGACTTATTAATTGCATATTTTGTCCATCCATTTTCTAAACACTTCATCCAGTTCAGGGCTGCAGGGGAGCTGGAGCTTCAGCGAACAACGGACAAAGGCGGGGTACACCTTGGATGGGACGCCAGTTCATTGCAGGGCACACACAAGGTCCAATTTTCCAATGAGCCAATTAACCTACTAGTATGTCTTTGGACTTTGGGAAGAAACCAGATGACTCAGGGAAAACCCATGCAACACTTGGAGAACATACAGACTCCATGCAGACTCCATGAAATAACACCGAGGGCACCAACACCGTTGGGCAACGCATACCACTGTGCCACCCTGCATATTTTGTCTTGGTAGAAAATACAAACACATCCTCCTGTACAAGATATGCAAAATATGTATTTTATATGGGATGCATATGTTGATCAAAAGACAAAAATAACATATACAGGAATATATATTTTATAATCACAAAGCTAACTTTCAGTCATGGTGGACTTCTTAGTATTAATTTAGGTTAGCAAGTCTAGAACTATATGCTAATTGTGTTTTTGAAACTAACCCCTATGAGACATCCGAGAGTAAGAGAACTGTTCCACCAGAACTGGAGTTTCAAAAAACTGAGAGCAAAGTGCAAATGCACTCCTCTTGCAACAGTGTGACAAGATACACAAGCCTGATAATATCATATCACCTATTCAGCTATACCTGAGCTGTTTCCACAGGAAGAGCAAAAAGACTGGCCTGTGGCCATTCCTAGTCAAGTTGAGATGAATGGGCCAAATGGCCTTCATTTGTTCATGACCTTTCCTAAGTTCTTACACGGCAGGTGTCTCGTGCGATCACCATGGGTGGTTACAGGGTCGATGGAGTTATACTGTAACATCAGAAAACAGGCTTGAGCAACATTATAAAAATGCTACCCTTTATCATATTTAGCATGTTTATGGTATACTGTAATCTCAAGGCACCTGCAGTATGACAAACAATGAGATGTACACATTTAAATACAAACAGTTAATCAAAATTAAAAGATAGTGTATAAAAAGAGTTTTAAGGTAGGATGTGAAAGTGCTGACAGACTTGCATGATCCCATATGAGCTGGGAGATGGATCCAGAGTGTTGGAGCACCAGAGCAGAAAGCCTGGTCTCCCAGTGTTCACATCCTCTTTGTGGGAACTGGAAGAAGTCCAGAGTCTGAAGAGAGCAAGCAATGTCTATCTATTATAGGGAGTAGTGTAGAGAGAATAGAGGAGTTTATTGCCATATGTACATTGGACAGCAATATGTACATTAAAATTCTTATTTGCGATGATCTCTCGGGACACGCACGGTACAACAGACAACACCACACAATGTAGACAGTACATTACAAACATAATAAATAATAATAATTCATTATTATTAATAACATTTAGAACAATAAATATGTTTGCAGAAATATAAATAAGTAGTCGTGGAAGAAAAACATGATAGACCATGCAGAAAGTGCATATTGCAGAAGTGAATTGAGTCTGAGGATTTGTACTTAGCTGTGTGGGTACTGCAGTTACCATTTCACAGATGTAGAAGGTGCTTAAGGTGCTTGGCTGTTTTATGAAAATTGTATTCTGAAATACAGTACAAGAAACTTAAAATAGGTAGTTTGTGCGAGTTCTGTATATGCTTGAACCTGTTAAAAACGTTTGCCAATATATTTGTATTCAATAACATGCACTGCATTAGAGTGAAGCCTGGAAAAAAAAACATGCAGGTACAGTGTTAGCTACCATCCATTAAAGATTGATTTTTAACACTTCTTATAGCTATTCATCACTTATCTTTGTTACACCTGAGAACGTACAAATCTTCATTTTAATTGTACCCTTAAGAAGTACAGGAATTTGCAAAACCCGGAAAACAATGAACATTTTAATTTGCATGCATACATTCCACACTGTACATTCATTAAAAGGTGTTGGATTACTGAACTAAATAGCTGCTTGCATAATACTGTTCTGTTTAATTCTTTCAATGCACAAATCGTGCATTCCAGAAGGAGAAAGAAGTCCTGCCCATGGATGGTGTCTCACAGGTTTGACACCTGAAGTCACAGTTGAGCTCACTGGCTGGGTTGTTAACAAATTAGCTCTACGC